AGATTAAAGTGTGCACCACCACAACCAGCCAATATGGTCCCTAGTAGCTGGGCTACAAGTTCCTGTCATCAGTCTTAGAAATGAGTATTTCATAACTACCTATAACTCCTCATTGGATGAGTGGACCATCATTTATTGAATATAGTTTCTTTGGGGATACAATTAAATAATACAGCACTGAGCATCATATACCCCTCTTTTTTCTTTTACATGCATTAATTCATTTAGTGTATGTGTGCACACATGGGTGCATGCATGTGTACATATGCCTCAAGAAGCACGGGGAGTCAGTTCTTTCCTTCCATTGTGTAGAGCCTGGGGGGTCAAACTCAGCTTGTCGGGCTTAGCAGCAAGCACCCCTACCCACTGAGTCACCTTACCTGCTTCATTTGTTTGTTTATGTTTGAGACCTGCCTCATTCTACACTGGCCTAGAACTCCTACATCCCACATGGATCTCGATTACACGCATGCGCCACCAGGCCCTGCTCACATCCTATTCTAAATGTTTCATTTTCTTACAAGCAATGTATTTAGGTCAGCTTCCCAGATGCTGGCACAGCCGGTGGGAGAGAAAGTGGTCAGTGGAGGGTTTTCACCTTCCAGGGGATCAAATCAACAGATATACAGCTGATTGGGTTGTTTGGGAAATGTCAATTAGCACAACAAGGAAAAACAAAACCAGCTTGACCCCAAAGCCCTGTCACAGTTAGTGTACCAACAGCAGATACTCTCCCCAGGCTGTGTGACCATCACCTGAATGGCCATCAACACAGGCCTCCTCGCCCCTCAAATCTATCTTTCTCCCTCTCTGTTCCTTTTCTCCTTTCCCCCTATGCAACCCCCAAACCCACCTTGGCTCCAGGTTGAGTCACCTCCTAATGGGATGTAGTTCCAGAGTCCTAGATAAATGTGGTGTGTGTGTGTGTCCTGTATCACTTTCCACCTCACACTTTTGAAACAGGACCTCTCCCTGATCCTGACACTGCAGGTTTGTTTGTTTGTTTGTTTTTTGTTTTTGCCTGGGCCAGCAGCTAGCAAGCCCCAGCTCTTCTTGTCTCTGACCTCACAGCACTGGGGTTACAGGTGCTCACGACACCATGTGGTTTGTTCCGAGAGTGCTGGGATCTGAACTTAGACTTTCAGGCCTGTGTAGGAAGCACTTTACCAACAGAGTCATCTCTAGCATCCTGATCCCATTCCCACCCCTCACACTCACATACGGACACCACACACACACACTCACACAAATGCACATACACACATACAGACACAGACACACACACACACACACATACAGAGTGCCTTTTTATCTCACTGAAAAGAACAATGTGCTAATTATAGGGAATTTGGAAAATCCAACACAACAAAAGATAATAGATAGCACATGGTCCCATTGTCCATTTAAACACCGTCTTTCAGGGTTGGCTTGTAAGTTGATTAAGAACTCAAATAACATTGTTTGCCAGTTGTGTGCCTCCAGGCACATTACTTGACTTTCTGTGAATCAGTTGCTATGTTTATTAAAATGTTCCTCGATCAACATGTTAGTGTTCTGTTTATCACGGATTTTTTTTTTCACTGATTCTTTTTAGTGATGTTAAAGCATTTACTTTGATCACTGAATCTTTGAAGTGCCCTCAAGTTTCACATTTGCCCCCTGACCCAAGGCACCAATAGTGGGCACCATGCCTGCTAACCTCTGTGCCTGACCTCTGACCTCCTCAGCCTTCTTCTGGGCCTTGGAGAGCTGAGGTGCTTGGAGGACACTTGGCCCTGCAGCAGAGAAAGGATGCCTGCTGAATCTCTGAGGCAGCGCAATTAGCATTCTGGGATATGCAAATTGAAGCAATCCTGCTGTTTTAGAGAAACTTAATATGTTTTTTAAAAAGATAGGGTGAAAGGCAGAAATTGCAGGAAATTATATATCTTGGGAGCGGGTTTTATCTTCCCTGCCACTGATTCTCATGGGCTCCCAGGCTGGGAACAGCATATCATGGGCTCAGAGAGTTCCCAACCCAGCATCAAATCCTCAGTGTCGACCCTCACAGGAACCCTGGGACCCAGGCCTTCAACAAGGCTCTCCCTTCCTCTTCTCAGAGTCACACTGTGTCAAGAGTCCCACCCATCTGCTAACCGCATTGATGGGGAGCAGGGAGGTTCAAACCATTCTCCCCCTCCCCGGGCACAGACTGTGATGCAGGTGGGGGATAAGGCTTGCCCAGCATTTGCCAGGCCCAGGGGTTCCATCCTCATCACAGGCTGGGACCTTGAGCCATTCCTGCCCCCAGGACTTCCCCCCCCCCCCACCGAGTGCCCACCAGGGACCTTTGCTTTTGTGACAAGCTGGAAATCTCTCTGAAGATCTGCCTTGTCTTCAGGGGTTCTGAGATGAGATACAGCAGTCACAGAGAGCTCTAGGCAGTTGTCCCTGGGTGTACAATGTGTGTGTGTGTTGGAATAGAGATGAGCCTGCTGTGGCCTCACTTATCTACCATAGACAGGAAACCTGCTGGCACACTGTCACACCCTGACTGAGCTTTCCACCCAGCTGGAGTTCAGAGCCTGCCTTTTTTTTTTTTTTTTTTTTTTTTTTTTTAAAGCAATAACCAAAAAAAAAAAAAAAAAACTAGTTTTCGAAGAGGCCCTTCTAAATGGATTTCACACTTCTCTGCCTCCTCCATTGGAGGGTATAGAACATAATTAAGCCTACCTTGGAGATGCAGGGTCAATATTTAGAATTTCAGTTACACAGCTCTGGAGCTGTACCTCCTGACTCCAGTTCTCCTAGCTGTGTGGCTTCCGGCAAGGGTGTTAACCCTCTCTGTGCTTCTACCTTCTTGGTCTTACCTTTTTTTTCTTTTTCTTTTCTTTTTCTTTTTTATTTTACATGTCAATCCCAGTTCCCCCTCCTTCCCTCCCTTCCTCCCTCCCTCCCTTCCTTCCTTCCTTACCTTTATTCCTTACACTTATTTGTGTTGCACATGTATGTGTATGGTCATAAGTGTGCATGGTAAACATGGAGGTCAGAGGACAACTTGCAGGAATTGGATCTTTGCTTCTACTATTTGGGTCCCTGGGATTGAACTTAGCCTCAGTGGGCCCTTGTGTGTGTGTGTGTGTGTGTGTTAGGGTTTCACTATGTATCCCTTCCTGGCTGGCCTGGTCTGGAACTCCCACTTACATAGACGAGGCTGGCTTTGAACTCATAGCATTCTGCCAGCCTCTATCTCCTGAGTGCCGAGCTCCCTTCTGTGTGGAATAGGCAGGAGACCAGTGCTACCTCACTGAATTGTTCGAAGGATTAAATGAGGCACAGATAGAAAGGTAGCGGCGTGGGTGACAGTGCTTGCTGTGCAAGTGTTGAGGACCTCAGTTTGAATTCCAGAATCCACATAAGAACTGGATACTCAGTTACTCAGTGTGAGCAACTGTCATCCCAGGTTCCTACAGCAAGGTGGGAAGTTCAGGCCAATTCTCAGAAGCTTCAGGGCCAGCCAGCACTGAACAACAGAGACCACTTCAATGGGGTGGAAAGCTACTGATACCTTGGTTGCCCTCTGCCTTCCACAAGCATGCTTACAGTCACACACACACACACCTATTGCAGCAACAAAGCCATACCTCCTAAGAGTGCCACTCCCTATGGGGGTCAATTGCATTCAAACCACCACACCTCCTGAGTTTATGGGTAGGTACTGCGTGGCCCCTGTTTTAGAGATGGGGTACAGAGAGGGGAAGTGCCCCAGGTCCCATGGGGGGGGGATGTAGCTGTCTTGGGCAGTATCTGTGTTGGGCTGGCACCATATGTATGGCTCAGCCTCCCCACTCTCACTCAGCCTTGTGATGGTTTTGGTTTTGTGCCTGCATCTCTACCACTATTTGATCTTCACTGGCCATTCACTTCCAAAAGCCAGGAAAGAGAAGCTGATGGACAGCAGGCTGGACTCCAGGGTCCAGCATAGCAGAGATTTCCCTGGGGAGGCCACACAGGTGGAAAAGTAAACATTGATCTGATGTGCTTGGCCAGGGTGTGCCACAGGACCCTCAAAGGGAAGTCTGGAAGGGCAGAGCCAAGGAGTGGGGGGGGGCTTGTATCCTGAGGGGTAGGGGTCCAGTTAGTCTGAGATGGAGGAAGCCTGAAGGGGTGGAGTCTGAGAGGGGTGTGACCCTACAGAGGCAGTGGAGCAGGGAGCTGGTCTGGGGGTCAAAATTAGCTCTGTTCGATGAGCTTGGAAAGCCTCTCCTTATCCCCGTCCCCTTCCCCACACCCCACCCGTTCCCCACTGAGCCTTTGCACCCTGATTTATTCCTTGTCCCACCTCCTTTGTCCCCCCCCCCAGAGTGTCCTTAAGAAACTCCATGATTAGTGGAAGAGGATGCCCAGCTTTAAGTGTCCTCTAGGAACCACATGGGGCATTGTGGGCAGTGGCAGACTTTAGGGTCAGCAGGCCACGCTCAGGATAGCCTTTGGTTGCCATGTCACTATGGTATGCACTAGGAGGGTTATACACAGAACACTTCATATCCTTGACCTCTTGTGCTGCTCACTGCCACCCATGAACTCCAGCAAGGGGGACCAGAGGCTCTAAGAGGTTACCTGCCTTCCTTGGGGTCACATAGCTCCAAAAGGTTAGGGCTAGAGTTCAAATCCAGGGCAGCTTCAGACCCATCTGCTTCTCAAGCCGCTGGGCCTCCAGGCCTATGCACTGCTGACAGCTGCTGAAGTGGTTCCTCCGTGCTAAGGGTAAGCCTGGGGCTTGTGCCAGACTTGCTTAAGATGCTACCCTGTCTGATGTGTGGTGGCAGTGGGTGGTGGTGGCGCTTGGGAGGCAGAGGCAGGCGGATCTCTGCGTACCAGCTCAATGTGAGCCTGGTCTACAGAGTGAGTTCCAGGACAGCTAGGGTTACACAGAGAAACCCTGCCTTGAAAAACAAAACAAAACAAGACAAAAAGCTACCCTTGCCAGCCCCTCACCATCCTGTCCTCCCTCTTTCCAGGATGTGGCCACAATGCAGTTCTGTGCCAACAAGTTGGACAAGAAAGATTTCTTCGGGAAATCTGACCCCTTCTTGGTGTTCTACAGAAGCAATGAGGATGGAACGTGAGTTCCCTGACCCACCCCAAGGCACCTGAGCAACAGACAGGGCTGGGAGGGTGTGGCCACCCCTGAGGCCCCTGCTGTGTGGAGCAGATGCCCTGTTGACACTGGGAGGCTCTCAGCAATGGTGGCTGCTGTGTATACCCTGGGCAATGTGCAAAAACAGGATTAGGGCAGAAATGCCTCATTCTGCACAGACCTCTCACCTCACAAATCTCAGAACGCCCTTAGAGGTTTCCCAACTGCATATCAGACCAGGCAATGCTGTGACTTTTCCCCATGGCCCTACACTCTTGCAAGCATATGTTCATAACTACAGAGTTGAAAGACCCTGACTCCCATCTCATTAAGCTAGATCTAAGGGAAACATACACCAATGCAGGTCAGCAATGCAGAGAAAGACCCTGGCGGAAGATCTGAGAACCTAGGTGCCCCTCCCCGCAACCACCTCCATCAAACAGCTCTGTGACCCAGGGCAAGTTAGGTCGGCTCTCTGGGCCTACTTTCTCATCTATGAAATGAAGCAGTTGGATGAGGTGGTCTCCATGGTCTCTTTAAGCAGCCGGTTCTGGGATTCTACAGAAGGCGGAAGTGATGAGGCCAGGAGGGTTAATTGGAGAAACTCGGCCAGGAAGAAAATGGGTCCTTGGGGTGGAGCAAGGCTGCTTGACGAACCAGAGAGCCAATCTTGTGCAGAGCTAGAGTCCAGGGCACACCGGCCCCTCATGCTGAAGGGCCAGCATGCACTCTCGTGGGGTGTGTGTGTGTGTGTGTGTGTGTGTGTGTGTGTGTGTGTGTGTGTGTTGGGGGCAGGGTGGCATCGGGTAAGAAGTGTATTTCGGTGCAAGAGAAAACTGGTTTTTAAACCTGAACTACTGAACAGGAAATTAGGTGTGATCATTTGCATGACAAAGGGCTTTGTCTCTCAGAGGACTCCCAGTGGGGTGCTTTAAATATTCCTGAACCTTCTGACTTGACTTTAGTGGGGGAAGGAAAAGGAAAAGGCTCTGGTTGCTCTACTCGTACTGTGTCCTCCGAAGAGGCGCAGCCCTGGCCCATAGGGCCCTGGTGGAGGGCAGGAGGATTGGGGCAGGAGGGTGACGCTGGGACGGCCGTGTGGGAAGGATCTGGGGTTCTTGACTGGACTGACATGGGACAGGGTGGGAGGTGCTCAAGCTGAGCTGTGAGTGGGAACAGGGCAGGGAGGGAACAGAGGGGCATCATGGAGACCCGTGGGGACCAGTGCTAAGGCCTTCTCCTGGTGGTAGAGCCAGGGGACCCCAGAGTGCTGGGGTTGCCAAAGGAGATGGTACAATGGCTGTGGCCTCGGGAGTTATTTGGAGGAGTGTCACTTAGGTGTGACAGAGCCTGTGGCCGGGAGACCACAATCCCTGGGAGTCCTATGGGTACTGGAGAAATTGATCAGGGACCCCACAGTGGTGACCAGTGCACTTGTCCCCTCAAGGCAGACAGGGAGCTAGAGAAGAAAGGTGGTCATTCAAGGTGTGAAGAGGGGAGAAGCATGGGCCAGGGACATGAAGAGTCATTGGCCAGGATGCACTGCTATTCTGGCTGTCCTGGAGATCTTCCAGTCTTGTCTGGCTCCATGTTAATGGCCCCCCACCCCTGTCCTTCCAGAGGCGACAACCAAGCTGTCTGCTGGGCCCTTGCCTGGCATCAGTAGGTACAACCAAATAATTTTAGGCAGGTATAATCCAACAGAACCTATCAGAATGCTCCCTCTCTGAATGGCCACTGTATCACTTCTCCTTTAGCTGTGATGAAATATCCTGACAAAAACGACTTAAGGAAAGTTCTGTTTTGAGTCACAGTTGGAAGGTATATCAGTCATGGCCAGGAGGTCAAGGCAGCAGGAGCTAGAGGGCCACATTGTACTTGTAGTCAGGAAGCAGAGCGTCGTAGTCCAGGAAATGGGTGGGAGGTGTGTGGGTGTCTCTCTGTGTGACTGTATGTCTATGTGTGTGTGACTGTGAATATGTGTGTGTGTGTCTGCATGTGTCTCTCTGTATGTGTATGTCTGTCTGCCTCTGTATCTGTGTGTGACTGTGTGTGTCCATATACGTGTCCGTGTGTCTGTGTATGTGTGTGTGTCTGTGTATGTGACTATGCATGTGTCTGTGTCTATGTGTGTGTGTGTGTGTGAGACTGTATTGTGTCTGTGCATCTCTGTCTGTCTGTGTGTGTGTGTATGTGTGTGTGAAACAAACTGTATATGTGTATCTGTGTGTATGTGTATCTGTGTGTGTCTGTGTATGTCTGTGTGTGACTGTGTGTGTGGGTGTCTGTGTGTGTGTGTATCTGTATATGTGTGTTTGTCTGTGTGTCTGTGTCAGAAGTTAATTTTTGGGAGTCTGTTCTCTTTTTCCACCATCCAGGTTCTAGGGACAAGTACTTTTACCCACTGAGCCACTTCCTCAGCCCTAGTCATTCTTCTTACGCTCATTTTTCCGTTAATGGGCACTCAGGGAAGACTTGCCTGGGTATGCACAGCTGGCCCCGGGACTGGGACTCACATCTGTCTGACAGATGGGTGACACTCTCCCACACCCGTGTTCCATCTGTGTGTCAAAATGAACTGTCTATGGGGACCACATGGCGTAGTGGAGCCTGGTACCTCCCAGGCAAGGGCAGCAGGGGAGTTAAGCCTATGGTGCTGATGGTGGGGACAGCAGGAAGACCTCCCCCAACTTCCCCAGGCTTCAGGAAGGGCCCTAGAGGAGGAAAACTGGGCTAGCAGCTTAGGAGGCTTGAGCTCTTGGGCCAGGCTGTGAAGGAAGAATAAACATTTGTGTGGGAGGACTGGGGCAGCCGGGTAAAGCCCACCCTTTGGTGCATGTTCCAGGGTAGATCCCTGAAGCCCAGGATGCACTGCAGTCTGCCTCCCCACCAGTCAGCTGCTCCTCCTTACTCTCTGTTACCCTCAGCCACCTACCCTAGCCCCAGGCATTGGGCCCCTCCTGCCCCTGCCCATCCCCTCCTCCAGCTCTAGGGTTAGCTACAGGGTCTCCCACGTGGATCTTGCACTCCAGTGGGTGGGTGAGGAGGAGCACGGAAGAGAACCGCTCAGCCTGGTGACAAGAATGACATTTTGACTTGAAAATTGCCGAAGAAGAAACAGTACAGGCTGTGTGGGCTCAGGTGAGCCCTGGCACTTCCTGGTGACCTTTCCAAGCTGGAATGTCTCTGGGGTGGGTGCTGGGAGAGCTTTGCCCATCCTCAAGGCAGGGCTGCTCCTCAGCTAGGTGGCTAGCAAGGCAAGGGGAGTGGGCAGGACACCGTTTCAGGAGCATGGAGACGCCCATCCCCATGGTTAACAAAGCTGATTCTTGGATTCCAACTGGAGGTACTCATGGGGTCTCAGGTGGCCCAAGGAGAGGATTTTGCCTCTACCTGACTGAAATACCCACAAAAGCTAAAGAATTGATCCTCCACGATGTACAGTTCCTGCTTAGGTTTTTTCGTTTGTTTGGTTTGGTTTGGTTTTTGTTTTTAGACAGTGTTTCATAATGTAGCCTTGGCTGGCCTGGAACTCATGGAAATTGGCCTCTCTGCCTCTGCTTTCCAAGCACTGGGTCCAAAGATGTGAGCCACCATGCTTGGAGGCTCCTTTTTATTTTATTTTTTCTTTTTGTTGTTGTTGTTGTTGTTGTTTTGTGCTATCAAGCATCTACCTACTGAGCATGCCTGGCCCTCATCAGTTTCTTTTAAAGTACGACTGGAAGGGCTGAGAGATGGCTTAGTGGTTAAGAGCATTGACTGCTCTTCCAGAGGAACTGGGTTCAATTCCCAGCACCCACATGGCAGCTCACAACTGTCTGTAACTCCAGCATCCAACACAAACACACAAAACTAAAATAGGCTCATACCTTTGATCCCAGCACTCGGGAGGCAGAAGCAGGTGGATCTCTGTGAGTTTGGAGGCCAGTCAGGTCTACAGAGTGAGCTCCAGGACAGCCAGAGCTAAACAGAAAGCCCCGTCTTGAAAATCAACAACAACAAAAATATGACTTAGAGCTTGAGAGATGGCTCAAGCCATTAAGAGCACTTACTGTTGTTATAGGAGATCTGGGTTTGGTTCCCAACAGCCATGGTGGATGGCTCCTAGTCACCTTTAGCTCCAGTTCTAGGAGATCCAACATCCATTACTGGCCTCCACAAGCAATTGTAAAAATGTGGTACGTACAAATTCCCTCAGGCACACATAAAATATTTTTTGTTTGTTTTTATGTTTTTTTTCGAGACAGCCTTTGACTGTCCTATAGAGCAGGCTAGCCTCAATGCCTCTGCCTCCCAAGTGCTGGGATTAAAAGTGTGTGCCACCACACCCAGCTACTTTTTATTTTATTTTTTTTTTAATGGTTGATAGCGAGGCATGGTGGCAGTTCTTAGAATCCCAGCACAGAAAAGGTGAAGGCAGAAAGATCAGCAGTTCAAGTCCATCCTAAGTGACATGAAAACCTATCACAAAACAAACAAACACACAAACAAAAGATGGTTGACTATTTACTAGGGCCAGTCATTGTTCTGGGCTACCTCGGTCATCAACATCAGGAACACTTACTTTTTGTTCTTGCAGACCTCTAGTTTTACTGACAGGTCATAACAGAATGTTTAAGGAGAGAAGTAGGCCATGTCAGATGGTGACAAATGAGACGGGAAGGAAAAGCCTGGAAGGAGAGAGACAACGGAGTGTCACGGTCAGGATTTGTACATTCAAGACATGGCAGTTGGAGAGGCTCCTGGGGGTGGTATCTGGCCGAAAGATGGTGAAGATGAGTGTGAGGATGGAACCAGGCAATGAAGAAGGTGTCCCAGGGAGGGACACAGCAGGCACACTGGCATCCACCCACCCATCTAGGCCTGAGGTTCAGCTCCTGGGTGCCCAGGAAAGGAACAGCCCAGAGAGAAATGGCTTGGTCAGTGTCACACAGCAGACTGGCCCCAGGACAGTGGGCCACAGCTCGGGTCCCTGACACTCCCTGAAAGATGTGCTCCAGTCAAGGCCCTGCATACTTGAGGGACTTCTCTGCTGTGCCATCTTGTGTAGCCTGGCTGTGGCTGTGAGGGTGACTCCTCCTGTCACAAGAAGTCAGAGAAGGCTTCGACATTGGCCATCGGAGCTTCCAGCCTGATGCCATTCCCTCCATTCTTCCTGGCCAGGTTCACCATCTGTCACAAGACCGAGGTCATGAAGAACACCCTCAACCCGGTGTGGCAAACCTTTTCCATCCCCGTGAGGGCCCTGTGCAATGGGGACTATGACAGGTGAGATGGGAGTCTCAAAGGGCAGAGCATGCGGGTACCTGGAGTGTCTGGATGTTCTGGGAGGGGCAGATGGCAGCACAGATAAGGGATTGGGAGGGGGCTGGAGGCAGGAGGGGCCTATCTCCAGCAACCTCACTCCTGGCCACTGGAATCTGGAGTCAGGATACCAGGGACACTCCCTGACAACCTGGTGGGCATAACTGAGGGGTAGGGGTGGGGATGACGACAAAATTAGGAAGCATTTTATAATGTTGCACGCAGACTGCCCTCTTCCTCATCTCTATGCATCGGTGTCAGTGTCTGAGCTGTGCCCCTGACTAAGGGAGCTATCAGCCTGGGCAAGTTCTCACCTGTCAGTCTGACTGTCCTTCCCTGAAGAATGAGGCCCAGAATCCTGCTGACCTCCCAGGGTGCTCACATGATGCCAGCAGGAAAGTGATAACACCACAGCTAGCATCCTGTCTGCTCACTTATTGAGCCCCTGACACGTGCTAGATCTATCTGGGAAGTCAGCTGGGAGCAAATGTGCCCAGCTCACCCTCTACCCAGCATCACAGAGCTTAAGTGTTCGTGGGGGAGGCAGACATTAATCCAGTAATCACACTGAGAAGCATGTCATTATTCACTGCAGAAGGCGCTGAATAGATAGGGGACAGGTCGGATGGGTGCCACAAATAGTATTGGTCATCATGAAGTCACCTAAGTACTGGCTGAAGAAGTGGGGTATCTGCTGGCTGCTCCTACAGAAGCCCTGGGGCATCATAACAGACTCCTTGGGGGGTACACTGGGGCTCTGCAGTTTCCACGGGGTATTATGGGGGTGGTGAGCAGATGGATGGTACCCTGGCATCTCTTTCCCTCCATGGACACTTGCAGGCACGCATCTGAGATGCAAGGTGGTTCCCTTCTGTCCTCTTGGATGGGACAGAAACACAGCAGTCTGTTCCCCGGGGATTCAGTGCTTTATGCCCAGTTCTGAGTCTCTGACTAGGTGGCATTCAAGGGCAGGTGGCAGTCTCTGTCTTCTGGAACCTTCTGGTCTGACCATGGGAGTTCAGACACACATCAGTTCTATAAATGGCTAAGTAATTGTGCAGAAATGAACTGGGGACAAAGCAGATGTTGCCATCAAACCCCTGCTACACACCTAGTTGGGAGCCAGGGCACCTAGAGTTGGGGAGGAGACAGGATAGCATTAGATTCTAAAGGAGGCTGGAGACAGCTGGAAGGTTGTGGGTGTGGTTACTGGGCAGGGGGCTTGGAAAGGATGGAGAGCCAGGAGAAGATGGGAAGGTAGATGTAGAGTCACGTAACACTGCCTCCCTAGGGAGGGCCTCCCAGGCCCCCAGAACCTGGCTGTATTAAAGAGAGACGGGGGAGCAATAGCATGAGTGGGGCTGGGTTAAACCACTGGCCCTGGAGGAGATGAGGGTGGGAAAGGCAGACAGGCCTGAGCCCAGCTCCATCTTCCTCCAGGGTGGCTGGATCTCCTTCTCCATGGTTGGGCACAAATTGAGTGTGACATGATTGGCAGCAGAAGTAATCCAGTGGCCAGTGTGTCTGGTTGAATCTTACCCCAGCCTAGTATTGCCCCGAGCTCCCACTGGGGAGGTGCTGTGTTAGAGGCCACTGTCCCTCTCCTGGAGGCCCTCTGGCAGACTCAGACAGTACAGGGTGTCACTGCACTGGGTGCTTTGGGGGCCCATTGACATCTCAGTTGCCAGTAGGGAAGCAAACTGACCATGATCACAGCTAAGGCTCTCAGTGACACCTTGGCTCACACTGGGCCTACAGGATGCCTGAGTTCATTCTCCTGGCAACCTGGGTAGAGCTTCCAGCGTGACTGTCCTTCATACATGATAGGGTGAGTCCCAGAGGGGACCAGGCACATCCAGCATCCTGCTTCCAGCCACAGTGGAGAGAGACACAGGAATTGGCCCAGGATGGCTTTAAAAGCTGTTCCTAAATGACCATGACAGGGAGACAGGGCATCTGGGAAGACTCGGAGAAACTTTGTTCAGAGATGAGGAGCTTGAGCTCTGCGGACCTGAGATGGGGACACCCCAGCCAGGTCATTTCAATCCTTAAAGCATTTCAAGGTCCTTTTGATGGTCATCTCAGATGGTTCAGAGAAGAGAGGGAAGGTCCAAAAGACCTTGATACCTGTCTAACTGGGGAAGACGGGAGTGTGGTAAGCTCTTACCTGGCACTCAGGATCACCGAGGGAGGTGCTGAGTGACAGGGAAGTGTGACAAGGCTAGATTCTTACTGAATAGGTTGGTCTGTGTGGGTTTTGTTTTGTTTTATTTTTGTTGTTTGTCACAGCCCATAGGCCACTCACAGCCAATTTGAAAAGAACAATCCTAAGTTAGGAGAGTTGTGTTCATGTTTGGAGATGAGCTGTGATTCTAATCCTAGGAAGAATAAGTGTCTGAAGGCCAGACACAGCTCACAGGGGAGGGGACAGAGGCCATATCGGTGAGGCCACAGGACCAGAGCAAGGAGGACGAGGAGATGGGATGGGAGACAGGAAAGTAAGCAAGGAGAGTATGCTAGAAGGCTGGATGTCTGTACTGAGAGAGAGCAGTATCCCAAAACAATGGGGTGAAAGTAGTTCATACTGTTAAAATTATGGAATACCTAGGATGTGAGTCACATTGGTCCTAATTGGCTTACACACGTTTTCTTACATGGTGAAAAATGGCCTTAGGAGCCTTGCTCATGATGTGCCCATTCCACAGATAGAAAATGAAGGGTCAAAGTCTATGTCAGAGCATGACAGTGTCTTCTGTTCCATAGATGTCACTTCTGGGCTCAGCCCTGGTCTGGGGTCCCCCTTGCCACTCTTTCGTGTGTCTCCATTTTCAAACAAAGCCAAACCTAAATGGCCTAGCTGAGCAGAGCTCAAGTCAGAGGAGGGAGTAGAGTCAGAACCCCTCCAGCCCCGGGGTGGTAGACAGGGCCCTGGTGACAAGGACTCCTCTGGTGTTCTCAGATTATGTCCTGCTCTTTAACATTCTGTGAGTTGAGGATTTCCCCGATTAAACCAGGAGCGCCCAGGTCAGGCTGCTGTTACTCTTGCCGCCATGATGTTGAGCGGCCAGATTGTCCATGTGGGAAGCAAGGGGCAGAGTACTCACCTGAGCTGGGAGTATTCCACCACTGCGGCCAGCTGCTAGCCGCTTGCTTCTGTGGGGCCACAGCACTGAATGGTGGCATAGGGAGGGCTAGGCTCACTACCAAATGCTTCAAGCATGGCTGCAAGGGCTGCCATATCAGTCCTGTAAGCACACAAGACTGGCTTCAGATGAGATGGTCCTTACCCATCTCCCTGTGGAGGCAGTCTTTCCCTCACTACAGTTTCTCTCAGAATATTTGCTGTGGGAGAGAACGCCTCGAGGGCTTGTCAGCCTTAGGTCCTTGTGGACAGCATGGAAATATCCCTTCTCCTGCCCTGAGCAGCCATTAGTACCGCCATGGCCAGAGATGAGTACAGTATACTGTAATAGGCTTTCTCTTGGGCCACCAGCCGGCTCCCAAATTATGACACAGGAACTTACTAGTTATGAATGCCTGGCCTTTCCTTGCCCTTGTCCCACTAGCTCTTATAACTTAAATGAACCTATTTCTCTTCATCTACATTTTGTCTCAGGGTTTTTTGTTTGTTTGTTTTGTTTTGTTTTTTACCTTTCTTTGATTCTGTATGTCCTGCTTTCACTGCGTGCTCTGTGTCTGGCTGGCTGGCTGGCTGGCTGGCAGCTGGCTGGCTCTGGGTGTCTGGCTGACCCCGGGAGGGAGTCTCCCTCTCTTTCTCCCTTGTTCTCACCTCTCTTCTTCCCCAAGCCTAGATTCCTCCTCCTACTTATTCTCTCTATTAAACCAATCAGGTGCCTTATGCAGGCAGAGTGAAACAGAAACACTCCTTTACATAATTAAACAAATGCAACATAAACAAATGTAACATACCTTTATGTTATTAAAGTAATATTTTGCAACAAAACAAATGTAACACATCTTTCCCTAGTTAAATATTCTGCAACAATGTATCCTATGGTTGTTACTCAGGGAGGAGGCCCAGAGATTTCCCCTGCATCCCACCCATCCAATCTCACTGAAATGTGGCTTTGTGGTTCTAGCCCTGGGTGTCAGGGGCCTGGGACACTGACCCTTGACCTTCACTCTGGGCATGTTCTGGTGCCTCCTTCTGTATTTTTGTGAAACCAAGGAACTGTTACCAGCATAGCCCATTCACAAAGGTGTTAGGGAATCCCTGCCAGCTGGCAAGTGTTCAGTGCCTCATAACTGTCAGGCATCATCCTAGAATCCAAGCCTATGACAGTGAGCAAAACCAATAATCTCTGACCCATGGAGGATGTTCTTCCAAACAATAGGATTGTCTGGTGATGAAGAAAAGGTTGGGTGAGCCTAACAGAGACAGAATCATGTGTCAGTGCAGCAGGGTGGCTGGAGACAAGCATCTTCACATAACTGTCCCACAATTTACAAAGGAGCAGAGTCTCCCAGGGTGCAGCCATCAGGGCTGCAGTCAGTACCTGTGGGATCTGGGGCACCACCCTGGGTTATTGTCCCCAGAGCAATGCCCTTCCCTGCCCTCCTCATTCCCTCACCTACGAATCTGAGTTCTCAGCCTTTTTGTGCCAAATGGATGTTAGTTTTATGGACCATTGAGATCGGTTTTCTTGTCCCTCTCCCTCGAGCTTTCTCTTGGGTCTTATGGCTATGTCACAGCCAGTCTGACTTTAGTCTGCAGAGCCCAGGCCCAGAGGTTCTAAGTCCCATCTGCTGTGGCCTGAGCTTGCAACTGATTGTAGACAGTGACAACTGAATTCTCCCTAGGCCTTCCTGTGTCTGGGGCTGTTCCACAGGGGCTGTTCCTTGCCTTTCTTCCCCACCCAGGCCCAGGCTGGAAATGTAGCCTTTGAGGTCAGCAGACCCTCCCAGGTTGCGGCAGCCCAGGAGCCTAGGTTGAGGCCAAACTGGCACCCAGGGGTCTCATAGCCAGCCTCAGCTACCAGTTCTCATCCCCTGGGGAGCTTCTAGTCACCACCTGCCCACACTGCACCCTGGACCTGCTGGTTCTGAATCAACCAGGGTGAGAGCCCTGTCCAGTGTGAAGAGGGCCAGCAGCTCTGCAGCACACTGGGGCTACTCAGAGGACTTTTCAGAGCTATTGGAAACCAGAACCCCAGCCAGTGAAATACGACAGGCCCGTAGACTTGGAGATTTAACTTTTTATTGCATGTATCTATTTATTGGTGGAGGAGGAGGGCGCTGTGTCATGGCACACCTGTGGAGGTCAGAGGTCAACTTTATGGAGTTATCACTTCTTTCCTTCTACCACGTGGATCCCTGGAATCAAACTCAGGGAGTCAGGCTTGGCCACAGTGTCTATCCGCAGAGCTCTCACAGTCAGTCCCTTCTTCTGTGTTCTGTGGAAGCAAGGGTTACTCCCACTAGGGTCATCCATCATGCAAGAGTGTTAGGGGGCCTCCACCAGCTACAGGAATTTTTGTGTGTGGTTGGTGGTTGGCTTTGGTGTTTGGCTGTTTGCTTTGTTTTAATGGTGTCTCATTATGTAGCCTTGGCTGGCCCAGAGCTTGCTATGTAGACCAGGCTGACCCCCAATTTACATAGATCCACCTGCCTCTGCTACCCAAGTACTGGGATTAAAGACGTGAACTGCCACCACCCAGGTTAAATAAATTTCATATGAAAAGGCATTCATGCATGGTTAGATGAAAATGTGGAAATCAAGAGACATTTTCTAGCCCCCATCCCATCCCCCAACACACACACACACAGAGTGAGCTATTCTGTAAAGCCCATACTATCTCCATTTTACAGTCAGGGCTTGTGGCTCAGCGAGGGTAAACGACACCTCAAAGCCCCACAGCTGAGAGGTACAGTGTCCAAGCCGAATCCACCAGTGTCACATGTGGCTTCTTTCCGGCCCTTTCAGAACCTTAGACATGCAGAAGTCTGTACTTTCACATAATCAAGGAACCACAGGGGTTGTTTCTATAAAATAAGAATGCAAAGGATGCATCTAAACCATATATCTGCTTCATATTGTTTCATTGACAGAGAGCTAGCCCATGCATAACCTTCCGGGCATCCCAGGGTTCTATTCTGGAACTTTCTTCTGCCCCATTCTACAATCTGCACCCTGCCCTCCCTCCCACACATAGCTTGAAGATACTCATCTGAAAGGAGACAGCGCCCCCTTCTGGGAGCTGCAGAACTCCCAGGCCGACTCCTGGGAGGGCCGAGAAGATGGACCACGCCACGGGTGGGATAGATGTTAATAGAAGAGAAACCAGTTCAAACTGCTTTGTGCGTCCCTGGTGGAGCTCAAGACCAGAAGCCCCTGCTTCCTGGGCTTCTCTTACCTGCCCTAGACACTGCAGGTGCTGCCTAGCAGCTTTCCCATGCCTGGGCATTCCAAAGGACAGAGCAGACAGCACAAGGGTTAACCAGCAACCCTCCACCTCCTTCCTCTTGCTTCTGGTCCGCTAGCCTGTTGCTATGGGAACACAGCCCCATGCTTAGGAGTCAAAACAAACTAATTAAAGCAGCCTGGGCTAGAATGTGAAGAAAATCCCACCTTTTCACAGGGGCCAGTCTCAGGGATGGGTAGCTCAGGGCTTGGGGTTCCTACCTTGACCTGCAGGGCTGGGGGTGGTTCTTTACCTCTCACAGCCCACACTCAGCTATCCTCCCTGCTTCATTGTGAGATCAGCCCCCTCATGACCTTGCCTCAGTTAAATGCCCAGTTTGACTTCCTGCCTAGGCTTATACCATCTACGGAAGCCAAGAAGGTGGGGTGAACAGAGGGCTGAGGCTGCTTTAGCCAAATCCTTGAGATCTCAAGATGGTCCACTGAGGCTCTGGGTGGCCTCCAGCCCTAAGATCTTTGCTTAAAGGTCTCAAGATGGGTCCCTGGTCTCTCTTGGGTTGCTTTTTCTGCACACAGGCTTGGAACACGGAGGGAGCCCATGCATGCATCCCTTCTGGTCCTTCTGTCCTCAGGCCTATACTACCCAGGGTTCTTTGCTGTTTGTTTTCTAGGACCATCAAGGTGGAGGTATACGACTGGGATCGGGATGGCAGGTAAGGGCAAGGGGGTATAGAGGTGTAGAGGAAGGTGAGTAGACCTAGGGAACTCTGGGAGAACTGAGCCAGGCCCATGCTTGCACTCCCCTCACTAGCAGAATCGGGAATGCTCTGAAGTGCTTGTGTTGTGGGACATTGAGCATTCATGTACACTTTCTTTCTCTGTGTGGCTAGCACTGAGGAAGACCAGGCTGTAGAGGATGGTTGAATACCCAGAGATGCCCACAGTCTCATAGAGGCTCACTGTAAACACAAAGAATAGGCAGGTCTAAGAAAATAACTATAGGGACAGTGACAGCAAGGTGTTTTAAGGCACAGGAAGGGCATTGGACAGTGCCTAGGGAAGGCTGGAACTGGCCTGCAGGAAGGTGACTTCTGCTTGGGGACTGGGGTAAGTATGGATGGAAATTCCTAGACAGAACAAGAACACGTCTCTCAAAGCAGGAATCCAGAACCCTCGCTGTCTCCCACTTGTCTGTTGAACAAAATACAGACATGCCATCCTGGCTTCTTGTGAATCACTCCTTGCTGGGGCACTACTGACGGGTGGTCACAGTTGACATCTCCCAGATCTGATATGGACTGGGGTGTTTTTCATATTATAAAAGGTGCTGTGCCAGCAGAGCTGAGTCAAACCCAAGCCATGGAAGGATCTCCAGTGCCCACCCTGCCTGTGTTAATCCTACCCCACCTTCCCAGTCCCTTCTAGCCAGCAGGGTCAGCTCTGCCACGCTTCCACCCGACTGGCTTCATTCCCTCCTAGCAAGTCTCCATACATCTTCTTTACCCAGGAGAACTAGGGACAGCCACCAGGGTCCTACCATCCAGGGACCAGCCCCAGAAGTTCAACAACTCTCACTCTGTTGTCAACACAGTATGAACTGAGGGTATAGCTCAGTGGTAGAGCCATTGCCTAGCATTTTCAAGACCCTGGATTTCATCCTGTACAAAACTAAATATATAAGCTCTCAGGACTGGCCGATGGCTCAGTGGGCAAAGGTACTTGGAGCAAGAGCCTGACAGCCTAAGTTCAGACAGAGAGAACCTACTCCATAAATTTAGTTGTCCTTTGACTTCCGTACACATTTGTGGTTTGAACACATACCACATAGAAAGAGACACAGACAAACAGAGACACTAATGACCAGTAGAAATAAATAACCCTCTCCCCCAAATAAAAGTGTATATATCTATGAAAGTGTCATAATGAAATCCACTACTTTGTATAACTTTAAAAAATCAAAACAAACTACTGTGAACCCACAGCAAGGCATGGCCCCAGGGACATGGGCGCTCCAGCTGGATGCCCCAGCTAGAGTGCTAAGCACTGCATTCTAGCAAGGACCCAAGGCTGGTGGGAGTGCTGTTTGGTGCAAGTTCTTGCTGTGTTTAATATAAACACACTCTGGAAAAAGACTTCTGCCACCGGGCTGGATGTCACTCTCATTGTCTGTTTAGGAAATGTTAGTGGGAGGGTCTAGTTCGGTTCAAGACCCAGGGTTCCATGCAGCACCAAAGGAAGGTTAGGAAAGATCCAACCATGGTTATAATACTCACTGGAGTCTGAAGTGGGAGGATCTGAGTTTGAGACCAACCTGGGCAATACGAAATGAATAAATTAATGAGATAGGCATATAAGTAGCCATGCCTGTCATCCCAGCACTCTGGAAATAGAGATCAGGAGTTCAAGGTCATCCTTGGCCACACAAGTTCACAATCAAATTGGGATACACAAGACAACGTCTACAAAAGCCCAAAATAGAAATCAAATAAAAAATAAAAGCAATAATTTTTAAAAATGTTATTGAGCTGGGCACAGTGGCCACACCTTTAATGCCAGTACTCAGAAGGCATTGGCTCTGTGAGTTCTGGGCTAGCCTGGTCTACATCAGAAAGTTTCAGGCCAGCCAGGACTATATAGTGAAGCCCTATTGTTGGAAAACCTGTCTCAGCAGGGAGGAGTTAATGAATGCCTTTAAGCCCATCACTTGAATTTGACAATTGTTAAATTTCCCTGTTTGCCTTATCTATATTTTACTAATGTAATTTAAAGGAAATTCCATCATGGCTTTACCCCTAAATATTTCATTAAACGTGTCTAAAAAATAAGCACATTTCCCCCACATAACTGTGAATGCCATTATCCCACCTGACATACTGAGTGGTAATGCTTGACTGCCTTCCAACATTCATTCCACAGTGACTGTCCCCAAATGCCTTTTCTTGCTAACTCATTTAAATAAGAATCCAAGCTTCTCCTTCCTCCAAGTGTCTTCTGCCAAGTGGCTTCCTTGGTCCATGAGTAATGGAGAGAGCTCTCCTCCTATATCAGGCTTTCTGTGCCTTGGAGTAGAGGCCCTGGAAGGGCAGGGGCAGGGTGGGGGCAGGCTGTGGGACAGGTTAGGATGAGCTAAGGCATTCCAAACCTGGGCCTCCAGGCTCAACAGCATCTTCCCTTGCAGCCATGACTTCATTGGGGAGTTCACTACCAGCTACCGAGAGTTGGCACGCGGCCAGAGTCAGTTCAACATCTATGAGGTGAGATGCACCAGCGGTGGGGTCTGCTCTCATAAGGGTGCCAGGGTCGTGACGGTAATGACATGGGAGCTCCGAGAGGGACTGGGGACGTCCATGTTGTCTCACAAGATGGGTTTCATGTTCCTATTTCACAGCATTCCCAAGACACACACCCACACACCACAAGCATTCATACACCACAGGCACCTATACACCACATGCACCTATATACCACACACACCCACACCATACCACACACACACATACACACTTATACCACACACCCATATACCATATACACCCACACAGCACAATACCCATACACCACAAAAACCCACACACACCCATACACACACCATAACACACACACACACACACACACACACACACACCCCACATACAAAGTTAACTTATCTGACTTCCAAGTCCTACATCGTCTCCTGCAGAACACTGCTGACCAGGGATAGGGCAGAAAGAAAGGAAAGTCCTGGGGGCTGGAGGAGTAGTTCAGTAGATTCACACACACCATACCACATATACACCACACACACATACACATACCATACTACATACACACACACCACATACCATATCACACATACAGCACACACACACACATCACATACACATCACACACCATACTACATACACACACATACACACACCATATCACATACACACACACCACATACCATACCACACATACACCACACACGTACATATACACACAGCACATACACAACATACTACATACACACACACACATACACCATAATCACATACACACACATACCACACACAATACCATACATACACCACACACATGCACACACACACACACACACACACACCACAAGAAGAGCCTTCAGGGTCAATCCCAAGCACCAGCAAGAAAGGGAAGGAGGCTGTGAGTCAAGACTCAAGGTCCTGACCCAGAATGCTCTAGGTGTGGACCAAATGCCTGGCCACAGGTGGACAAGCTGCTCGGAAGCCCTGTGCTGCCTTGAAATGAGCTTCTAATGTGCCTGCATTAACGTTAAGGCACTGAGAGGTAACCTGACCCCATTGCTGCAGCCTGCAGCCCTCACCACAGCTGAGCACTGATGGCCTGTAGAGGGAGAGTGTGCTCTCCTTCCACAAGTAGAGAGAGACACACTGCATGCCTGTTGGGGCAGTGAGCTGCCCTGCTTTCCGCTGTTGGTCACTTCTGCACTCTGAGGGTGCTGTCTGCCATATAGCCTCCGCAAAGACCTCTTCTGCCACTTCTGATTAATGTCAGTGGTCCCTGGAGACCCTCTCAAATGCCCCTCCAGGAAGTCAGTCTTCACCCACTCACCACTCCTCCCCAGGGTGTGCCTGGGGCCCTTCTGAGACCATGAGGTTCTCAGAGGTGGGACATTTGGTTCTACATTCCCAGTAGCCTGGTGCACAGGAAAGCCGATTTCAAAACGGGAAAAGTAGCCTATTGAGTGGGCCAGTTCCTTACAATGTCCCTAGGAGGTGCTGTGGCCCTGTGTGGAATGCAGCAGCCACTTGTGGCTAGGGAAGAGGTTCTGGGGAATCCCAGGAGACCTTAGAGCAGACAGGGTGCTAACTCACTATTCATTCATATCTGACACCAACTGTTGCTGTAATGTAAAAAAGAGTAGCGGCAGAGAGTGGGAATGTGATTACATGTTAATTTAAAGATAATGCAGAAGGCTTCAAAGAAATGTGTCAGATGTGGTGTGTGTCTGTGTGGTCCCACCACTCAGGAAGCCGAGGCAGGAGGAATGTGAGTTTAAGGCCAGCCTGGGCTACACGGTGAGACCCTGTCTCAAAAACAGAAAGCAGAATAAAATGAAACAGAGGTAGTATAAAGAAGTTCACACCCCAAGCCCCATTACATGCTCATTCCCTTCTGCTGAAGGGAAGCTGGAGTGCATTGGTTCCAGTTGTCCAAGCTCTATAGTATTGACACTGCAACCCTGCCTGGCCATCTGGGCAGGCAAGAGCCAATGGTGGACTAGGGGAGAGAGGCACTTCTGGCTGGTTCAGCTCTCAGACCTGACCTCAACCCCACCTACACATTTGTTATCCCCTCCCATTCGAACCTGTCACTCATTCATCAAGATGACAGCCCAGTTATATATGCACCCAAGGCCTGAAGACAGGTTTCTAATCCTGTGTCTACCCAGAAGGCTGTGTGACCTGCAGCAAATCACCTGGCATCTCTGTGCTCTGATTTCCTTTGTCTCCAGAAGTGAGGATCAACCCTCGTTAGACCAAACACACTGCAGTTAGAGACATATTGAAGGCCCCCAAGGGAGGCATGAGCCATTCGGGGGAGGAGAATGGGTTCAAGAGAATCCAATAGGTGACCATGTGAGTGGGATCCGCCTTGCTCTGCTGATGGGACACCAGAGAAAGCCCAGATTTCGCATGTTGAGCATGGGGACAGAGAGCTCAGTGTGACTGAGCAGCGTGTCTCACCAGGACAAGGTGGCCCTCCCCCTGGCCCCAGGGTTTCTCCAGCATTGATAACATGTACAGCTGGGCCACAGCTAGGGGTCAGCATTCTGACCACCCACTCTCTCTCCAAGTGGTGACAACAGTCTATAGACTTTAACAAATGTCAAGGGTGAAGGGTGTCAGTGGCTGTCACTAGCAGAGAGCAGAGACATCCCTAGTCATTACTGAGGCTACTGTGTGGGACCTTGTCACAGGTCGAGCAGATCTGGTTTGGAAGCTCCCTACTGTGGGTCTGAGTGGGAGCCCCAAAGGGGATGGGGAAGGTGGGGCTGAGGCAAGAAAGGTGTGTGGGGTGAAAGGGAGGCCTAGCCAGCGCAGGCAGGTGTGGGCAGAGCTATCTTGCAACATTCAGCTGCTTTGGGCAGATTTGAGGGTATTGGAAGACAAAGCTAAAGAAACTGTCCCAGTGTGCTAGATCCTGGGACGCAGAGTTAGCTACAACTCCCAGCTTCTAGTATCCCACAAGGCCTGGCAAAGCCCTTCCCCAGCTGTGGTCACACCCCATACCCTGCTGGGATGGTGCCCAAGCCACACCCAGGGCTGGTGGGAGCCCTGGACCTGCCCTGACTGCTTTCAAACAGTAGCTGCTTTTCCCTACAGGTGATAAACCCAAAAAAGAAAATGAAGAAAAAGAAATATGTGAATTCTGGCACGGTGAGTAGCCTCCCTATGCACCCCCCTTGCAGTGGGGAGGGGGCATTGCCCTGAGCCAGGCTGGAGTGCAAGGGTCTGAGCCAGGTGAGTGGGAAGCAGAGCCATCAGCCTGGGGGATCTCTGCAGGAAGGAAAAGGAAAAGCCAGTATGCTTGTGGGGAATTCCCCAGGCACTGGGCTTTGTGGAGAGGAGCAGAGGCTGCAGGCTGGGAAGTGACTCAGCCAAGGTCACACAGCCTAGGGTCAGGAGAACCACCTTCCATCTGTGTGGGCAGCAGGCATCCCACCTGGGTCAATGTTGGTCCTTGACTTGTGAGGGATGCTCAGCTGGATATTCCCACATTTATCCAGCAAATATGTACAGGGCACTTAGCCATGCTATGCGGACAAATGACACAGCCAGGAGGTGGCAGGTCCAGGTCCCTGGTGCTTGTAATAGGGGAGTCAGAGGGCTAATTAGTACATGCACACACCTCCGTGAAGTGCTTGCAATAGGTGTGGGGGAAGAGTAGATATTGAGAGTATCGAACGATAGGTACCACATGCAAAGGTCCTGAGGCAGAGCCCCGGCACTGCTCTATAACAGGTCAGTATGTTTGCTGTGCAAATGTACTGTGCCATCTTTGGTCTGGGTTCCACCTTGACTATAGGAATTCTAATGGCGACTGTGGAGGGTGAAGTACTGCTGTAGGCTGTTTCTGGTTGACTGAAAGCCACCTGGGAGGAGGTTCAGTGGCTTCTTGGGTGCTTTACACACTGTCCCCTGGGTGGGGCCTCACACACTGTCCCCTGGGTGGGGCCTCACACATTGTCCCCTGGGTGGGGCCCTTAGGCCACAGCACACAGACTTTCTGTCCCATTCTCCGGGTTGAGGGACATCAGCTTTGTCACGGCTGGTCTAGCCAAGCTGAGGGCCTGGAAGGATCATTGTATCCACACCAACAGAGGCTCCTTTATTCCAGGCCCCCTTTCAGGTGCCTCACCCCTCTCTGACCCCAAAATTCTCTGTGTCAGGCTGCCTTCGTGGACAGTGCCATTGCCAAAGTCTCTGAGGGACAGAGTGGGAGGCTTCGACTAGGAGAGGGGTCCTGGGTATCAGGCAACTACAGGCTGCTCAAAGGGTCTTGGAACTGAGGGGCAGAGGCTGAATTACACCCCAGAATGGGGCATGACAGGCAAGGCTGAAGAAACAGACACAGGAGTGGGGATCGATGGTACCACAGAAGCATGGAGTCCACGCTGGTCAGAGACACAGACACAGGAGGCCAGACCTACACCAGGAAGACTCCACATTGTAGGCCAGGGCTCTGGGTTTTCCCAGGCCCACTTGGAGGATGGCTGGGTCCTTTGCCCAGGCTCCGTGCTTTAGCAGTAAGGTTGGCATCACAGTTAAGTGTGGTTCTAAAGCCCACCAAACTCCAGCACTCAGGAGGTGGAGGCAGGAGGAACAGGAGTTCACGGTCATCCTGGGCTACATAGCAAGTTTGAGGGCAGCTTGGGCTACGTGAGACCCTGTCTCAATGTGAAAGTCACAGAGGTTCTGGATTAGCTTCATATCCCCACTGTGCCACACCCCGGCAGCATCCTTGGAACCTCACTCTTCTTGGCTGTAAAATGGGGATGAGAGTCCTTGGTGGGGTTGCCACAGGCACAGCGTGGAGTGAAGGGTGAAGCCAGTACCTGTCCATGATGGCTCTCCACAGGCCAAGTGTGGAGTCAGATCCTGACCATCCTGGGGCTCTCCGCTAACCACACCCACTTTCATTTCCAGGTCACACTGCTTTCCTTCGCGGTAGAGTCAGAGAGCACCTTCCTGGACTACATCAAAGGAGGGTGAGAGCGATGGGCCAGCCTCCCCACACCCCGGGGAGACGGCAGGGGTCACCATGTAACCAGAGCACACCCCATGAGACCCCAGCTGAGCTGTACTGGGCTGTAAACAGACCCTGCCTCAGCAGCAGCCAGCCTGGGTCATGTCAGATCCCTGAGCAGAGGTTAGGACCTGATGGTGGTGGAGGCTCCATAACAAAGAGAGCCAAGGTGTGGGCGGTGGAAAGTGCTCTGGGTGGGGCATCAGGAGAGGCAGGTTCTGGGCCCGTTTGCCTCGGCTTTTCTGAGTTACTATGGTGAGTCATGTTCTCTGTGGGTATCAGGGCCATCCAAGGATTGCAAGGGGTCCTGATGGGTGTGGGACAGGGACCTGTAAGGACAGTGAGATTAGGGTACCATTCCAGGGCCAGAAGGTGCCCAATCTCAAGCTGAAAGAGCAGAAGGAACTATAGGGGTGACCCACAGGACAACGCAGCAGAGCAGCCAGGAGGCCTCAGCTGTCAGCTCAGCAGACATGGCCTGACTCCAAGGAGGGGCCTCTCTGGCACACTCCCTGCTGGCGGCTGCCAGGTCAGGGTGTGGGCAGCTGAGAGCCCACAGGTGCAGGCGAGCGAAGACTGCACCTGCCTGAGAGGAGACAGGCAGGGCAGCTACCCAGGGCGCATCCCAGCCTGGCAGGCACCCGGCTGCCCTGTCTCCTGGGACATCTTTCACTTTCCCATGACTCTGCTCCTTCATCTCCTGAACTTGCAACCTGTTACAAGCCCTCCTTCGCCTACAGAGCACCAATAGAGCATCCCCCCACACCCCTGGGCACCCAGAAGCCTCCTCTAGCCGCTGTGCTTAGATCCACTCCTTGCCTCAGCACCCTCCCTTTGCAGAGCTGGGTACAGCACTTTCCTTTTATGCGCCCTCCCCCCACCCCACCCCACCCCCGCCCCCAGCTGCAAAAAAGAAAGAAAAGAAAGTGCAAACCAAAAATTTTCCCTTCTTTATTCCACTAAGCAGCCAGCCCTCACATTCCATTGCACCTGGCAATTCTCAAACAAGCTTCATTTTGTTCACCCTCTCATTTGCATAGCACTCCTAATTTCATAGAGGGTGGGATGAAGACCTTATCTCCATTTTGCACCCACCTTCAAAGGTGGCCTGGCTCCTTTTGTTCCTGGATAATTGGTGATCCTTGTCCCCCGCTGTGGTTCCCCACGGGGCTAAACACCAGAGGGAAGCTGAGGAGGCAGGGGGCTGCTGAAGCACCTTGCAGGTCAGACCTCCTAGAAAGAACTCTCTGGAGGGTCTGAGCTAGACACTTGACTCCAGACTATGAAAATATAGGGGCATGTCCAGGCAGGAGGCAGACAGAGGTATCTGTCTGGGGACTCAGAAAGAATTAAGAATGAGGGTACCTTTGCCCATGACAGATGAGGCCAAGAGGCAGGAGCAACTTGGCTGCAGGGAGTTGTTCCACAAAGTGCCTGTTTTCTTTCTTTTCTCTCTTTTTGATTGATACAGGGTTTCCCTGTGTAGTTCTGGCTGTCCTAGAACTCACTCTGTAGACCAGGCTGGCCTCAAACTCACAGAGATCCGCCTGCCTCTGCCTCCCAAGTGCTGGGATTAAAGGTGTACACCGCCATTGCTTTCTGATTGCTTCCTTCTCCCATGTTTCCTGGACTGTGAGTAGAATAGTTAAGGAACAGGGACAGCCTTTCCCCTCATCCTGTTTTGGAAGAGACAACCTAGTAGTTGGCTATAGTCCAGCAAGGCATAGCCCATCCTCCCAAGGATGGCTCCTGAGTCAGAGCTTTTGCTCTCCAGGTATCTCCCTTCCTCTGACAAAGGTGCTGTTGTTCCACATGAAGAGATGCCATCAAACAGTCTACTGCTACAGCAATCAGTCCCCAGCCACAGGCTTCAAATAAGTATCTGGCTGTGCTGAGTGTGATTTACACAGCCACTCAGGGGCCCAGGCTCTTGCTCTCTTGTGGCTCTTCTCTTAGTGACTAAAGTCCAGGGAATGCTCTACCCCCAGGCTAGCAGAAAGATGGGACTGCCTCTGCCTAGAAAAGCTGGCTTGTCTCCTACTGGCCATGTATTTGCCCTTGTCCAGGGGACAAAGATCTCATATGCTGCAGCTTGGCTCTGATCAGGTGGCAAAAGATCTGGGATTTCTAATAGGGACCTTCTCCAAATGCAGTTGAAATGGGCCTGGCTTCTGTTATATCCTCTACATCCCCAGGCAAAGCACCTTCCCCAGTGTGACTCTAGGATTTTCCTTAAGCAGATTCTGAGGGCTCCGCCTCAATCCAACTGAATGGCCACCGGGAAGGGCCCTAGAATCCTCTCCCTCTGATTCCCAGATGTGTGAGAGTCCTCCCAAGCACATCTCTTCATCAGTTTCACTCTGTGTTGTCAGGACCCCACAGCAGCCAACTGTGAAAAATGTCAGCACATGCTATCGTGTTGAGAAGGGAACCTCAAGTGCCTCCCAGACTCTCGGCGACCTGCCTAGAAAGTCGGAGTCTATTTTCCCCCTCACCCATTGGCGATGAAGTGTACCTCAGCTCTCATCCATTCCTAGGTCCTACAGAAGGTAGCTCTAGAATACAAGCCTTTCTCTTCATGAAACACAACACAGGGGTTAAAGACATGGTTCAGTGGTTAAGAGTACTTCTTGCCCTTGCAGAAGACATCACCCATATCAGATGGCTCACAACAGCCTGAAACTCAAGCTCCAGAGAATCTGACGCCCTCTTCTGGCCTTTTCCAGCACTGCACTCAAATGCACATTCACACACACAGACACATAATTTAAAAAATGTTTAAGCACATAGCCACACTATATGATCCCAAAATAACCCACAATGCATAATAATACCATAAACACTGAAAAAGTCACAGTTCATTAATACCAGAGTTGAGGCAGTTTTCAATTGTCCCTGATTGTCTTAAAACTTTTTAAAATTGGTTGATTCCAAAGTCCAGTCAAAATCCAAATTCTGATTGATATATTTATCAATTTGTTTTCATCTTGCAGGATCTAGAGGGGATGAGAGAGTCCCAAGTTCAGGACTAAGGTCCTGTATCCTATAGGATAGGAACTGTATCCTATACAGGTTTTCATAGATTCTGGCTATATCCCCTGTGATGTCATTTAGCATGCCCCCTTCTGTCTCCAGTATTTTCTGTAAGAACTTAAAGACTGGCTGTGGTATTACATGCCTTTAATCCAACCACCTTGAAGGCAAAGACAGGAGAATTTCTGTGAGTTTAAGACCAGCCTGCTCACATATCAAGTTCAAGGCTATCCAGGGCTGCCCAGTGAAACCCCTAAAAAACTAAGCAGAAAAAAAAAATAAAACAAAAAACCAACAACAACAACAAAAAACCCCAACCAACCAACCAACAGTCAAAAACCAGGGAAAAAAAAAAAAAAAACCCAAGCAGATAGCTGCAGAGGCCTAGTCAGGTTCCGGGGTGGGTTTTTGTCCAGGCAGTATTGTGAGTGATGTCATGTTCTTCCGCCTAGAGATATTTAGTGTATGTTTTGACTCTTCGTCATCCTTTAACCATTAGTCCAACTCTGAATTTGAACCAGAAACCCAGTGAGACCTGACCACACCTACTCACTCACTTGGGCACAGGTTCAGAGAGGAAGGGACAGCGACCCACAGACAGTGCATAACATAATCAGTCCCTGTGTTGTGGGTAGGATGCTCACCTCCCATGCTCACAGTGGCCTCACAGAAGGACGACTGCTGCAACCATTCTAGCTTCCCAGAGCTTATGCACAAGTGGCTTCACTGAGGTCGCATGCCTGACACACATGGGTGCCCAGGGCTTTCCCTCCTTGCCCATCTTCCCCAGGTAACTCCAGGTCTTCTCCTCTTTAGGACACAGATCAATTTCACCGTGGCCATTGACTTCACCGCCTCCAATGGTGAGTGGCGAGGAGGCAGGGGTGGGCATCTCTGGGCTGTGGAAGACTATAGGCCAGCTCCCTCATACTCCCTCTTCTTCCTGTTGGGTGACACTATTCCGGGGGGGGGTGTAAACAAACATCTACTCCCCCAGATAGGGAACCAATAACAGACCAAAGTACAGATATTGCCAAAGTCCAATGTGAGTTTGCTGGCTTGCTTGCAGGGGTATGACTGAGGGGTTACTACAGGAACATAGGTGGATGAAAGCCACCCCAATGTGGGTGACAACCCAGGAAATCTGGGACCCTGAGGCTCTCTACATAGGTTGCAGGCAGTTTAACGGGGACTTCCGGTACCTTGTGAGTTGTTTACTTCCTGAGTCTTAGGGAACTTCTCTCTGAGATGGGATGCTTCAATTAGGAAGAATTTGCCTACCAGAGAAGGCTTCTATGTCCACACAACCAAAGTTAGAATGAGAAGGGCTACACACACCTTTGATCTTAGCATTCAGGGGAGGGGGAGGGCAGTGGCAGATGGATCAGGCAGTGAGTTCAAAGCCTGCCTGATCTACTGAGTGAGTGCCAGGCCGGCCAGGATGACACAGTGAGACCCTGTCCCCCAAAATAAATAAATAAATAAATAAATAAATAAATAATTTGTTAATGAAATTAAATAGTCAAGAAGTGAGGCCTCCCCAGGTCAGATGGCACTATACCAGTGTGCCTCTATGCTGGTCAGGAAGCACACCCCAAGCACCTGTGCTGGTCAGGGAGCATACCTCAGCCGTTGTCCTGGTCAAAAGCACCTCCGTCTACTGGGGAACAGGAGAATGCAGCATTCTAGATCTGGCTGGGGCTGGGTGGCCAGGAGCCGTCACCGTGCCTAAGTGTACCCTGAAAAACAGCACAGAGCTTCTTGTGGGGTCACGACCCTGCCAGGGTGCTCTGAGCTCATTTTGTGTGTGTGTGTGTGTGTGTGTGTGTGTGTGTGTGTGTGTGTGTGTGTCAGAAGGCACCTAGGTCTTGCCCTCTCCTGGTGTGCCTAGAGTCCTTTTATGGCTATAAGGCAGGAATACTGGGCTGTTAAAGCTGGGTGGGGGGTGTATCTGTATTTGGTACTGATGCCAAAAAAGACAGTGTAGGAAATGGCTCAAAGTCCTGCTGAGCGAGTGAGGACTGGAGGTCTGGTTCCCAGGACACACATCCATGGCAGGTGTATGTGGTGGTCCCCAGCTCTGGGATTGGTTAGAATTCGGTGAATTGGGTGGAAGAACAAGGAAGGATGATTCTTAAATCAGACCTGGGCTGTCCATGTGCAAGTGTCTCCCAGCACATATATGCTTACCTACATACATACAGACATGAATACATGTAGGCATTAAAATGGAGGGGAGACCGTTGTATTTGCACCACCCATTTGGTCCTAATTGTGACCCTAGGACAGGGCAGATACCCTGATTTACGAGGGTCTCTCTAGTGAGGAGGCTGAGGTTGAAGGGTTAAGATCACACAGCTAATAGGAGGTAGAGACATTGGTCTGCCTGGGGTACTATCAGTAATTAGTGCATCAGTGAAATCTGAACTCCTAAGGTGACAGGGGCTATGGGAATATCATGGCAGGAGAAAGGAAAGGGGTAGGAGGACACTGCTAGAGGAAGGCCACACTGGGTTGGTGGCCATGGAAGAGAGACAAGGAGGGGGCCTTGCAAATATTCAGGAGAGAAACAGACACTGCCAGGGCCATGGGGGGAGATGTGGACCTCAGGCTGGGAGGGTAAGGGAGGACCAGAGGCCAGATCCAAGGGGATCCTGTGGCTTGGTGGAATCTGGGGTGATCTGGGTGAGATGAGGACTCAGGTTATTTCAAGCCGAGGATCTGGCCTTGGAGTGGGTTGGGCAGGCCAGTATGTAGTATGGGCTGCAGATAAGGGCAGGGAGGGGGCAAGCAGGAGCCATGACCAAGTGGGACACTGGATCTGTCCCAAGGGCTTAGCAGTCACTCCCTGCTGGCTGCTGAGCTAGGGTAGGATGGAGGGGGTGATAGGGAGAGGTTCTCGTGGACACGCCCTGTCCAGTTTGGCAGGTGTCCCCATATCTTGTGTTGCAGGAAACCCCTCGCAGTCCACGTCCCTGCACTACATGAGCCCCTACCAGCTGAATGCCTATGCGCTGGCGCTGACAGCCGTGGGGGAGATCATCCAGCATTACGACAGCGACAAGATGTTCCCTGCCCTGGGCTTCGGGGCCAAGCTGCCCCCCGATGGCAGGGTGTCACATGAGTTCCCACTGGTAGGAGGTGCCAGGCTGGGAACAAACAGTAGGGACAGGGGGAGTTTTTAATTCTTGACCTCAGCCTAAATACTTGTCCAGTAATCTCCAGAGACGTGACCACCTACTTGGGTTGGGGTCTGAACTAAAGGCAACTATGTCCTTCCTCTGCCTCCCCGCTGCCTTCCTGGGCCCAGCCCTGCCTCTTCCACCTTCCTGCCTACTTGAACTCAGCTGTCTCCTCTTTGTCCCAGAATGGCAACCAGGAGAACCCCTCATGCTGTGGCATTGACGGCATCTTGGAGGCCTACCACAGCAGCCTTCGCACTGTGCAGCTCTATGGCCCCACTAACTTCGCCCCTGTAGTCACCCATGTAGCCAGGTGAGCCTGGGACAGCTGGTCCCCAAGAAGCATGACGGGGGGGGGTGTAATAGAGCATCTCATGTCACCTGCCCACCTTTCAGCAAGAAGCCCAGGAGATTCCCTTCGACCCCTTACCAGAGTGTTTGGGAGCCTTGCTCAGGGGCCTGGGCCAGAGGCTCCAGGACACACCTCTTTGTGTGCCTACCCCCACCCCCACAGGAATGCTGCAACCGTGCAGGATGGTTCCCAGTATTCTGTTCTGCTCATCATCACTGATGGCGTCATCTCCGACATGGCACAAACCAAGGAGGCCATTGTCAATGTGAGTGTGGAATGGGGGCCTCTCTCTCTCAGGCACACACACACACACACCCCTAGGAGAACCTGATTGGGTGCTTCCTTTAAAGAACCACTGGAGTTCCTTCCCTGCCCTCCTAAAAGTGACCCCCCCCATTTGAATCCCCATCCATCTAGTTGCTGGCCAGAGTCTGGCATGACTAGGAGAGAGTGCTAGCCAGGAGTTTGGGAGATAAAATAAGTGCTGCATCTATGAGAGATCAGACTCTGACCCACACAGATGACCCTGTTCTCTGGGGGCCCATGGCTCCCTCAGCATGAAGAAAGCTTCCTCCCAACCATGACCTATGGTTTCCCTGTAAAAGGGGCCCCAGCTGCTCTGGTCCCTCATGGTGGCTTGAGAGCCAGACAGGAGATGGCTCACATAGGCAGGGAGACCCAGCTCCCCCAAAATGTCCCTTCTCTTGTTCTTGATCTCTGTGTTATCTCCCTATTCCCTCCTTTTTCTTGGGGTCCCCTATCCTTCACTGTCCATTCCTTCCCATGCCCTGCCCTCTCTTCATTTGGCCTACCTTCCTGTCTCTACCTATTCCTCACCTAGGACTTTGCCCCTCCCCTTTCTTCTCCTAGGCTGCCAAACTCCCCATGTCCATCATCATTGTTGGTGTGGGCCAGGCCGAGTTCGATGGTGAGTCCAGTGCTCCCTTCCCAGCTGTCTCTTCCCACAGAATCCCATGCCATCCTGTCCCCACCAGCAAGAGCCCATGTCTGGGTGGGCTTGTGTGCCCCAAGAGAGTGTGTCAGTACCCACACATGCCTCAGCCTCATCCAGGGGCTGTACCACTCCTCCAGGCAAGGAGCCTGGACAAGGGGAGCAGGGCCCTAGCTGCATGTTGGTCTCGGTCTCCACCTGTTTCCTCATCTCTAGTGCCAGGGCAAGAGCCCTCGAATGGCCTGGGATTGGAGGGGAGGTCCTGTCAGATGTGCAAGTGCTCTGTCATAAACACACATCCTTTGTCCCACAGCCATGGTGGAGCTAGATGGCGATGATGTGCGGATCTCCTCCCGGGGGAAACTGGCTGAACGGGACATTGTCCAGGTGAAACAGCCCCTGCCCTCCTGTAGTGCATCAAATATCAAGGCCCTCTAGCCACACCAGTCTCAGAGCCCCTGTGCAGACTCCCCAAAGACAGACCCTGGAATCCCCTCCTCCGCCAGTGTTCACATGAGGCCCTGCCCCTCCCTGCCCTGCCCCGCCCTGCCCCACCCTGTATGAAGCTCCCTCCTAACCTGAATGACGCCCCCACAGAATCCAAAGCCCTACAAGAGGGCTCCATGCTCATGCACCTTCTATAGTCTTCCTACACGGTCTTCCCATGGCATGGAGACCCCTTGAAGATGAAGGAGTTGACCTTACTGTTTAGGAGGAGGAGGGCAGGAAGGAGCCAGAGGGAGGTTTTGGTGTGGGTTAGGCATGGGTTTAGAGGAGATGGAGTGTAGGAGACAGAGAGGGTCCCTCTAGGAAGAGGTGGTTAAGAGGAAAGGAAGCCAGGAGGCCAGATTCAATCAAGCTTTCCCAGACTCCCTTGAGCCTCTGTACTCATTGCTGCAGTCTTGGGTGAAGGGGTTGAGTCAGTGTTAGGGCCCATCATGGAGTAGGTACCAGAAAGACCTGGGCAGTCCTTGACAAAACTCACAGAGTGGGAGTGGGGGTTGGATGCAGCGTGTCCTCTGGAAGGGGACCCAGATGCCTCCACTGATCCCTCTTTCCTTTCTATCAGTTTGTGCCCTTCCGGGACTATGTGGACCGCACTGGCAACCATGTTTTGAGCATGGCCCGCCTGGCCCGGGACGTGCTGGCTGAGATCCCTGACCAGCTGGTATCCTACATGAAGGCACAGGGCATCCGCCCACGCCCACCACCGGCTGCACCAGCTCAGTCACCCCCACAGTCCCCAACCCACTCACCTCCTGGGTCCCCCCTGCACACTCATATCTGAAGCTTGCAGGACCAGGGGTCTGGAGGCTGAGGCTTCACTCCTTGTGGTTGCCTTCCCAGACTCTTCTTGGAGGGCTGGCAGGAGATGGGGTGTCCATGGCCTCACCCCACTTCCTGGCCTCAACTTCCCACCCAAACCCAGGAAACTGTGGGTGGGGTAGAAGATGAGGGATACACAAGATTCTGGGGTTGAGTAGACTCCCTTAGCCTGTGTTGGATAACCCCAGGACTCCCCTATTCCTGCAGTTCAACTGGCCTCCAGCTCCTCTCCCTTCCTCCCTAGTGTCTAGTGTCCCCAGTCCCTAGAGATCCCCTGTCCTGTTTCCATGGAACCCTAGGCTGGTGGGCTACCAGGGATGTGTGTCACTGACCCTCTTAGGGACACCATATGTAAGCAGAGCCTGTGGGCCATCAGGGGCTGTGATGGAGGCACGTTAACATAGTGCCCCTTCACAATTCTCAGAGGCTTGGTGGTATGCTAGAATATTCTAGATAGAAGTGTCACGGGTAGCTTGTGGCATTGAGATGTCTCCTGCTCACCTTGGAGGCCCCTCACCTGTGGGGTACAGGGCAGCCCCTGCACTCCCACTGGCCTCCTCTCTGCCCTCCAGTGGCTCTGGGACCGAGACAGGAGCCCTGAGCACCAGCTTGACCTCACCCACATCCAGCAGGAACCCACCCAGCATAGCCTCTGCTCTCTGGACCTCTGTGTCCACACCTATGTGATGACAGGACTGGTCAGGTGGTCCAGTGTTTCCTGAGCCATCCTGAGGGTCCATTCCATTCCACAGTCAGCCTCCCATGCCTCCCATGCCCTTCTCATGACTGCTGTCCACACCCAGGCTGTCTAGACTCTGGGGTTGCCCCCTTGCATCCTGGTACCCCCACACCCCAGCCCTTCATTGTCAGAACTCCTGCCCCTGATTTGGAAAAGTGGCAAGGAGGTTTTCACCTACATTTACCCCGCTGGCCACCACCCTTTGTCCACTGGGGCAGGCCTTGCATGTGTCCCCTGTGCCGCATGGGGTCCCCGCCTGCCATCTCCCACCCCACCCGCCTCTGTCATGCATGGTGATGGTGGTGTTTCTACTGTCTGGTCCTGTGCCTGTCTGAGACCGTCTCTGTGGAACTTGCCTTAAACTGAAGTAAACTGATTCTTTTAGTAGATCCCGTCCCTTCTCTTCAGAAAACAGCTCTGTTGCTTGCCCAGCAACTCTCTGCTGCCTCAGTTCTTTGGCTCAGCCATGCCTCCATCAGACTCTGAGGGAGTCATGGGTGTGTGTGGCAGGGGATGAAATCTGCCCCCACAAACACCAGGGCAGACAGCACATGTGCAGACACTCAGGTCTGTAGCCTGGCTTCAGACAGCGGGAAGAGTCAGGAGCAGTGGGAGCCGATAAAAGAGCAGACAACAATGGCAAGATGTTTTAGGAGAGACAGTTAGGCGATTGAGGGGGAGCCCTCGGGAAACAAGCCAGGAGCCATGCTGATGCCTGGGTGAAGAGGGCTCTGGTAATGGGCTAAGGGCCGTGTCGCCCAGGTAGGAGCCTGGTCAGTTTGAAGGGGACAAGGAAGCCACTGTGATGAGAGCTAAGTTAAGGAAGAGAGTGCAGAGGCTAACGTCAGGGAGGGGGCCAGAAAGCACTGGGCCTTGTGGGTCATGGCAAGGCCTCTGACATTTGTTTTGGAGAGATGTAGCCATTGAGGAAGAGAGAGACAGCACGTGACAGGGAATCTTTCTCTCCAGTGTGTGGCTCACTATCATATTCAATCACTTATTTCCTCATCTCTCAACAAATATCCACTGAGCATCTGTTCCAGGCCTGCTCATGGGTCAAAGGCACTGGCTTAACCCCCACCCCCACCCCGTGTCTGTCACCCTTCATGCTAAATCAGCCAGCACAGGGCAGCAGTGCCAGCCAGCAGGAAGGGCTGGGAGCTGTGGCACTAAAGGGCACTGTGGCCCATCCAGGATGGCCCAGCTGGGCTGTGTGCCCAGCCGAGTGACAGGGAAGGGCCATGTATGCACTGATGGTGTGACATTCCCAGGGCCCTGTGTACTTTAGGCACATAGTAAACATCTTTCTTGGTCCCTCTTCACAGGTCAGGGCCATCACCAAGCTGGATCATGGGACAAGGACTATACACACACATATGTACAAATTAGCATGCTGTCCAATCAGCCCTCTAGGCAGTCATTCTGAGCCTGTACCCAAGAGGAATTCAGTACTAATTATCCTCCAGTTTGGGGCTTGTTTACTTCTGATGACTTCATGGTAAATTAGAGCTGACTCACAGCGGTCCCTATAATCAGATGCCCGGAGACTCCCATGCCGCCGCCATGAGTAGGAATGGGGTGGGGTCATGGCTCGAGAGAAGGGAAGTTCCCACAACCAGCGGCCTGTTTTCCATCTCCTTGGGCACCAGGGAAAAGTATAGGGAGGGGATAGGTGCCCAGCAGGGGAATCCACACATAGAGCAGCTGCCCCTGGGCATGGGGGGTGGGGTACACCAAAAGTATCTGGTGGCATGGCTTCTCTGCTGGGTTCCTTCCCAAGAACCCAGTTCCTTCTCCAGAACCAGTACCCAACGTGGAATCTGAGGCGACTGTTTTGTCTGAGTCCTTCTCAGGTAGCCTCAGTGGCCTTTGGGGCTACCAAGGCTCTGGCAAGTTCCACAGCAGGGACTGGTTTAACAGGATTCAACTCAATAGTCCTTGGGGTTTTTGACCACACAGTCAGACTCCCCCTCCCCCCTTCTGTCTCCTTCTTGGTGTGTGTGTGTGTGTGTGTGTGTGTGTGTGTGTGTGTGTGTTTAAAACCAGTAATGTTAAGCTAAACAAGCTGTTTTGAGAATGACAATGGACACAACCTTCCTGGTCCCAGAGCCAACATAGATGCTGAGGCCACATCTAAAGAGTGGCAGAGAGGGGTGGGCACTAATGGGGAGGAGCGGACCTCCAAAGAGGCCCTTCCAGCTACCTTAGAAGAAGAAACCACACAGAAGAAAGGCTGGGCTCAGCAATGTACAAGCCCAGACTCTCAGCCCCACAGTGAACTTAATTTTTGGTCCTGTCTGGGACTGAGGGTGTGTGGGACAGAGCTGGAGGGAGTGGGCAGGGATGGACAAGGCAGATGAAGGACTCTCTCGGACTTTACCTGGCTGTGGCAGCCTGCCCCTTAGCCCGTGGCCTGCAGGACTAAGAACCCCCGGGTGGTTCCCAGAGTGGTCCTGGGGTTTCCATCCCCCTTTATTTACTCATCTCTAGTGCCCAGAATTAGTAAACATAAGATGGTGGTGGCCTTGGTGGTGACCTGCCACTCACATGCTCTCTGAGCCCCTCCCCCTCCTCACATGTGTTAAGTGGGTGCCTCCTTGGAACCATCCTGTGAAGAAGGAATTCTCATCCCATTTTGCAGATGAGAAAACTGAGACATGGCGAGGCACAGAGGCCAGAATCACAAAACTATAAGGTTGGGAGCCCACAGGTGTATCTGAGCTTCACAGTTCTTCCTCAAGTATGAGCTCCACAGGCTGCTGTTCCCGTTCTCTGTGTCCCCATGAGAAAGTGGAGAGGCTCTAGATGACTAAGGCTCCACCTCTCAGCCTTGAAGCTCAGCTTTTCTGATGCTGGAAACAACCTGGGGTTGACACCATCTGTGACACGCCACACCAGCATGCTGGGGCAAGAATATCACAACACACACACACACACACACACACACACACACACACACAGACACAGACAGTGTTCCCCCTGCTCCAGGTACTGGAGGTTTGGCAGCAGCAAGCCAAGCCAAACTGTCCCCTTCCCTGTTTCCTGCCAACCCTAGCCAGTCCCCCTACACTAGGGTCTCAGGAACCAGGTTTCCCCTGCCAGCTTGCTGTTTGATGTCTTAGCTAGTTTTATATTTACACGATCCAAGCTAGAGTCATTTTGGAAGAGGAAATCTCAGTAGAAAAACTGCCTCACCAAACTGGCCCATAGCAAGGCTGTGTGGCATTTTCTTGATTGATGATTGATGTGGGAGGTGTGGGTGGTGCCGCCCCTGGGCTGTTGGTCCTGAATGCTATAAGAAGGCAAACTGAGCGAGCCAAGGGGTCAAACCAGTAAGCACCACCTTCCATAGCCTCTGCTTCAGTTCCTGCCTCCAGGTTTCTTCCCTGCTTGATAGACCTGGAAACAAGATGGAAATAAACCCTTTCCTTCCCAGGAACCACATGTGTGATTGGCCAAGGGAATGCTATAGAGTTGTCTCCCACTCCCACATGGCTTCCAGGGGCTAAGGAATAATGACACTAAGACACCAAGCTTGGCAGTGGTGGCACTCACCTTTAGTCCCAGCACTCGGGGGACAGAGGCAGGAGGATCTCTGTGAGTTGGAGGCCAGCCTGGTCTACAGAGCGAGTTCCAGGACAGCCAGGGCTACACAGAGAAACCCTGTCTCAAAACAACAAAAAGACACCCTGTGTGTGTGTGTGTGTGTGTGTGTGTGTGAGAGAGAGAGAGAGAGAGAGAGAGAGAGAGAGAGAGAGAGAGAGAGAGAGAACCATCTCTGTTCTGAGCATCTGCATCTTCCTGCAAAAAAATCTGAATCACCAGCCTTCAGCCTTGCAGGTGCTGGGCCCCGGCTTCAAGACCCTGTTTCAGGGCCATGGGTGTAGCTCTGGTAGTAGAGTGCTTGCTTAATATGCACAGACAATGCCCTTAGTGTTAACCCCATTGCCACATAGGCCAGGTGTGGGATGGGGGATGCTGGTTAGCCCAGCACCAGAGAGGTGGAAGCAGGAGGATCTGAAATTCAAGGTCATCCTTAGCTATATAGTCAGCTTAGGACATCTAAGACCCAATCTTGACAGGAAGAAGGGGGGAGGAGAGGGGCAGTGGAATCCCCAGCACCCAGGAAAAAAGGCAAATTACAGCTGCCTGTCACTGCAACCCCAGTGCTGGAGGGTGAGCACAGGCAGCTCCTGACCGCCAGTGGCCAGCCAGCACAGCTGAAATGACAAGCTTCTGGTACAGTGACAACTCTTTCAGGTCAGAAAGGTGGCGAATGGCAGAGGAAGACACCCAACATCTGACTCTAGCCATTAATGCCTGGACAGGGGCACAAACACCCGAACACTCTTGTGCATGCACAGACACAAAAGAAAAGGAAAGAAGAGAGACATCAATCCAAGGTCTGGTGGTGCAGGCTTACAGGTACTCAGGAGGCTAAGGCAAGGGGGATCATAGGGTCAAGTCTAGGCTGCAGTATGGGCAACTTAGGGAGACCCTGTCCCAAAATAAAGTAAAAAGAGGAACTGGTGAGATGGCTTTGTTTGCTGCTAAGTCCAAAGACCCGAGTTTGATCCCTGAGACTCAATGACTCCAGAAGGTTGTCCTCTGACTTCTATACTCACACCCTCCTCCCCCAGCACGCAAACATGTGCACAAATAATAAAGGTAAGTATTTAAGTTCCTTAAGTAAAGAGAGGGCTAGGGTGTAGCTTACTGTAGAGCACTTGCCTAGCATGCCTGGGGCCCTGGGTTTAATTCCCAGAACCACAAAGAAAAACAACTCTGGCCTTTTCTGGTAGCAGTTGGGAAGCAGGGTCAGGAGGATCATGGGTTTGGGGCCATCTTGGGCTACATAGCAAGACCTGTATCAACAATGACAAAAAATCAAGATCTGGCATGTGACTTGGGTGACAGGAAGTGCTCGTCTGGGTTACATTCTCGATTCCATCTCCAGTGTCACATAAACCAGGTGTGATACCAATATGCATGAGCAAGAGGGAGGATCAGAAGTTAGGATCACCCTTGGCTCCATAGTGAGCTCATGGCTAGCCTGGGCTACATGAGACCCCGTCTCAAAACAACAGAGGAAGTAGCAATTAAATCCACCCAGCTCATCACTTAGGGCTACTGCGATACAAGGACTATGTACTTACGTGAGGTCAGTTCTCAGAATGCCACACCCATCACACAGAGCCTGAGTAAATAATGGCTATGGTTTGTTCCTGCTCACCCTCAATTTGCAAGGCCTTTTCTCTAATGTCCCAGTCAAGCCTCGATTCCATCCCCTCCCACTTTCCAGACCACGCTCCTCGTCCCCAATCAGCCTGAAGCCAAGCCATAGTCAGATCCCCCTAGACTTCGTACTCTGTAGTTCCCTCAGAGGTCTACCTGCTGTCCTTTGCCCACTGGGGTTCCAATTATCTGCTTAATGATTTATAAGCCTTTAGCTGTCCAGAAGGGTTGGCACCCCATCACATCTGGGCTCTGTGGCACATGGTGGACCCACCATGCCAAGGTAAAGGTGTCTCTTCCCGAACCATACCTGGAGAGAAGCTGAACTAGCTGCCTGGAGGCTACTCCCCCCCCTACACACACACACACACACACACACACACACACACAAAGTGGCTGGCTGCTGGACTGGTTCCCAGGAGTGATGTTCTGCTACCGGCCTCATTAGCTTCCTGGAGCATTAGCATGGCAGGACCTGCCCCTCCCCTTGTGAGTATCATTGCCTGGAACAGCTGAAGAAGTGTGTGTGTGTGGGGGGGTGGGATTCTGGAAGGAGAAGGCAGTGAGGTAAGGGAGAGCCAGTGAGGAGCTGGGAGAAGCAAGCCTGCATCCAGGCTGGAGTGGAATGGGTATCTAAGGGTATCCGACCCTGTTTTTTGGAGGCATCAGATGCTGGAACCTTCTGAACCTGACCAGGTGGCACCAGCTGCCCTGTGTGCCAGCTCCCTGTCTCTGAGGCCTCCCTAAACAGTCAAGGAACGTATGGCTTCAAGCATGGGACTGTGGCTAACCGGTGAGAAGGAAGCCTGCCTTCCTCTTGCCAGGACTCCCCACCACCCCACTCTCCACTTGACCATCTCCACCGGTTCCCCACAACACTGAGGTTTCCTCAAGTTCTACACTCTGTCTCCAAAAAGGTACAAAAGCATCAGTCCCACCCCAGTTCCCACGAACTCTCTATTTGGTGTTCAGACAACTACAGAGTGGGGTAAAGGTGCCCCAACTCAGAGGCCATCCTTGACCTTCTCCCAGGCCCCAGAACCAGTTTTCCAGGCTTCAGTCCATGTCCCACCAATCATAGGCATCCAGAAGCTACTGAGGATTCTGAGGTTTAGGGCAAGGAGCAGGATCCCGTAGCAACCCTCCATGGCAGTGCCAGAGGGCTCAGGGCATATCAGGATGACACTACTCTTAGCCCTGGATTCTGCAAGAAAGAAATCCGCATCTGAGTGGAGGAACCAAGGCAGACAGGAGCAGTGGGAACTGACAGCATGTGTGAATTCAGAGTTGGCACCAAACAGATTCTCCGTAAGGTTTACTTCCTCTTCCACATTAGACCCCAATTATACAAGGCATCCCCAGGCACTGAAGAAAATCCAAAAATACTCAAAAGGAAAATAGCACCCCTATGTGTGTCCTGTGTTCTCATTAGTTTTTATTACCAACATAACACAATCTAGAGTCACCAGGAAAGAGGGAAATTTAAAAGAAGGATGGCCTTTGCCAGGCTGGCCTGTGATGGGCATGTCTGTGGAGCACGGTCTTGCTTGATGATTGATTCAGAAGGGTTCAGTCCACTGTGGGTGGTGTCATCCCTAGGCAGGAGCCTGGGCTGTATATAAAAGCCAGCTAAGCATTAGGCAGTGTGAGCCAGCAAGCAGGTTTCCTGCCCTGACTTCCTTCAATGACAGACGGTGACCTGGAAGTGTACACTGAAAGAGCCCCTTTCCTCCCCGGAGCTGCTTTTGGTCAGTATTTATCACAGCAGAAATGAAACTAGAATACCCCAGCATCTTGCCATGGGCTGAATGAAAGGTTTGGGGGTACTTTCCGTGGGCGGGGTTTCTAGACTTGTCCTGCCTTCCACTCAGGCCATGTTTGCTCAGTGGAGCAGAGGTGACACTGTCTCCTGCAGGGCTTCTCTGTCATGGCCATGTCCAGGAAGCAGAATGGAAGCCATAGGAAGGGACAGTCCATGGTGGAACCGGACTGGTGATCAGCTGCAGCAGCCAGCTCTCTTGGGTGGCTGCTGATGGGTCACTCCCACCATTGAAGCCTTCAGGCGGTCCTCCTGCATCTTAAGTGACCTGTATGACAATGTCCCCAGTCACTTCCCCCTCTCCAGGAGCAGCATGAAGGGCTATGGGGTTTGGGGCTGGCAGGCTCCGCCCCTTTGTCCTCTGTTTATGGCAGTGGAAAGATGGGGCTGGGGGACTGTGACCTTCTGCCTCTTTTTCTAGCCCACTGGGTGCCAAACAATACTCTCTCTCTCTCTCTCTCTCTCTCTCTCTCTCTCTCTCTCTCTCACACACACACACACACACACACACATACACACACTCACACACACAAATGAGCAGCTCTAACAGAAGTCACATTCCAGGGCTTGAGCCTGAGCCACAGATCCCCTATGTAACAGGAAGGAAATGCATTCCCTTAGAAGCCCAGACTCCAGGTCAAGAGCAAACCTGGGACTGGGAATGTACAAGAGATTTTCTCCTGTAGGCAACACACCTGTAAGCACATGCCAGGGATGCTGGCAGACTCTGATGCCCTTCCCGGCACCCATCTCAACTGTCCATTGTGCACACAGTGGGTGCAAGGCCACATATAAAAAGGGCGGAACAGACAGATGGACTCGTCCCAGACAGCAAGAAGAAAACGGATACAGGAACCGTTGGTCCAGGGAAGGCACAGGCCTGAGACAGGGGCACAGAGAAAGTGGCAGGATATCATGAGAGACAGATAGACAAAGAGACAGAAAGGGAAAAGGCTTCTGAGGGCAGAATAGCCATGGAGACAGTGTGAACTATTGGCAGCATTTGGCATTCACCCTAAGTCATGAAGTCACCAGAAGGCCAGGGCAGGAAGCTTCTAGACAAGAGAAGGAAGGTGGGAGAGGACAAAGCATGGGGCCTGTAGCTAGGGACTTCCTGGAGAGGGGCAGAGCAGGGCACTCTGGGAATGGGAAGCACTCACCGAGCCAGGTTCATCAGGGGCTCCAGGATGTTGTGACCCAGGATGGCGCTGCACTCACCAAAGGAGACACCCAGCTCCTGCAGCCACACAGAGTGGCTGAGAAGCCAGGCCCAGCCCTGCCAGCCCCTCACCAGCCACCCTCATTTGCTAGCTGGACCTCTGCCCACCAACTACTGCAGAACACGGTGTGCCATCCTGGACACTTCCCCCAGACTTGGAGTAGAAGACAGATTTACTACTTGACTTGGAGAAACACACAGGGACTGTGTTTTTAATTCTCAGGATGTTTGTATGTTTTTCTAAAATACTTCGGTGCTGGGGCTATACCTACACCCAAGGCCCTGGGTTCAATTGCCAACAACAACAAAAACAAAACAAAATAGCAAGATCCAGGCACTGTGGCAAATGCCTATAACCTAGCACTCAGGAAGCAGAGGCAGGAAGGTCAGGAATTCAAGGTCAGCCTCTGCTATGTAGCAAGTTTGAGGCTAGTTTGGGGTTCATGAGACCAAAGAGGCAGCTGGGTAATGGTGGCACACACCTTTATTCCCGGCACTTGGGAGGCAGAGGCAGGTGGATCTCTGTGAATTAGAGGCCAGCCTAGTCTATAGAGTGAATTCCAGGACACCCAGGACTGTTACACAGAGCAACCCTGTCTCAGAGAGAGAGAGAGAGAGAGAGAGAGAGAGAGAGAGAGAGAGAGAGAGAGAGAGAGAGAGAGAGAGAGAGAGAGGGGAAAGGCTAGGAGACTATGGCCTAGGGTGGGGTGCTTAGGGCACAGGCTCTGAGATGGTGAATAGAAGTCTTCCAGGCACTTAAGTAAAGGAAAGAGAGCCAGGTATGATGGTGTACATCCTTAGGCCCAGCATTGAGGAGGTAGAAGCAGAGAGATCTCTGTGAGTTCCAGGACCACTAAGGCTACACAAAGAAACCCTGTCTCAAAAAAAAAAAAAAAAAAAAAAAAAGAAGCCAAGGGGCTTGGGAGATGGCTGAGCAGGTAAAGGTGCTTCATGCCAAGGCGCACATGAGGTCAGAGGACAACTTTCAGGGGTCAGTTCCCTTCTGCCATGTGCATTCCAGGAATGGAACCCGGGTCACAGGCTTGGTGGCAAGCCCCTCTACCCCTGAGCCATCTTGTTGACCAAAGGACAGGATTCTTTTTTCTTTTCTTTCTCTCCTCCTCCCCCTTCCTTTCTCTTTCCCCCTTCTGCTTTTGTGACCCAATGTCACCAATTTATCTTGAGGCCATGAGTCCTTAGGCTTCAGCCTCATTTTCCTTCCTATAAGTCAAGGGATTTTGTAGACTTGAAGCTGGGGAGCAGGTTGAGGGGCCACTGAGATACCACAGAGAGAGAGCATCCGGGTTCCAGGTTCTGACCAGAACCATCCCAGTGAAACCCTTCATCCATCTGCTCATACGGGAACCACACAGAGACATTCAGAATTATCTCTCTGGCCCCACAGCACACCTGTCCCCCAGCACAGGACCATTCATGGTAAACACACGAGCCTCCCATGTGTAACTGCCAAGCTCTGCCAACTGTCCTCCGTAAACAACACTGTGAGGAGCAGCCTCCTGCCAGTCTGAGTAGATGTCCTAGGAGGGAGTCAACTCTGGTTTCCTAAGGACTGCTAATTCTCAACCCTCTAGCAGCATAAATTCTCAGAGAAGGAACTCTTTAAAGGGACAGACCTGCCAACCTGAAGCCACAGTGGCAAAGGGCGGGACCTGGAGTGACTCCCTAGGCTTTAAATTTTTAAATATATATATAGTGCATTTCTATAATGTGGTTAAATCTCATTTATAAATAATAGCATCCCCCGTCTGGCAGCATAGCTTTTGAAGTCATCTTCCCAAGGAGAATGTTTGAGTCTTAAAATAGAATAAACGAGAAGGGAGTATGTTAATTAGAGACCAGAGATAAAATTAAGATTTGATTGGGGATTTCAGTGACGCTTTTAAAACTGCTTTCACTCTGAAAATGTTTTTCACGTGGGTTGGGAACGTGTGGGAATCTGCTAATTCCACGAAGTGTTCAAGGTGGTGCTCACTGACACAGCGTGGGTTTGAGCCCATGGCTGATCCCTAGCGACTCAGTGGTCAGCCCCTGGGGGCCGGGGAGGCAGGGACAGGAGGCCAGAAAGCCTCTTCTCCCCACCAACCCCCCTCCCCGTGCCATGCCAAGTGACAATGTCCCGGTACTCACCTGGGCCAGTCTTCTCCCAGCTTCAGTGGGTACTTGCCTCTCCTCCTCACAGTCCATCTTGTTTCCCAGAAGGACCATGGCCACCCGGTCTGCACCTGCATCCTGCACACAGGATACATAACCTCAGCCACCCTCGATGGATGCCAGGCCCAAGAAAGAAGCTTCTAGAAGTTTCTAGGAGCTATCAGGCATCCTCTCATCTGGACCCTCTCTTCTCCTTTCGGCTTACAAGACACTTTGCCTACTTTCATGGCTAACCTTGTGGGCACCTCCTCCTGGAAGCCTTTCTGGATTGTTCCTGCCCACTCTTCACAACTGTGTGCCTCTGATTGCCTAGGCTGCCTTTACACTTGTCTCTGGTTGATTTTCTTTTTTCTTTTTCTTCGTGTGTGTGTGTGTGTGTGTGTGTGTGTGTGTGTGTGTGTGCATATGTGCACCGTGTGTGTGTGTGTGTGTGTGTGTGTGTGTGTGTCAGAGGGGGTCAGACCCCTTGGAGCTGTAGTTACTGACACTTGTGAGAAATCCAGCATGAGTGTGGGGAGCCGATTGCCCACCCTCTGAAAAGCAGCAGGACCGCTGATCTGTCTCTCTAGCCCCCTAAGTGCTTTTCACATCATTATAGTTTCTGGCTGCTGACTGCTCTCTTTCAGGTGCCAGAAGCAGTTGTTTGAGTAAATCTTCCCAGCTTCCCATGAGAGAGACAGAAGTCCTGGGAGGTTAAACCACGTGTCCAAACTACAGAGTCAGAGATGAAGCTGACAGACCCAAAATATGTATCATCATATTTTTTTTTTTTAGAAAACTCTCTTCCATTGGACTAGAAACTTCTAGAGAGATGCCACATAACTTCTAGAAAGAGGCCACATGCTCCACTTGTCCTAACTCAGCCTCATGTTGGGCTCATGCCCTGCAAAATCCCAGTAGAGATAAGGTATGTGGGACATAGAGCTAGACATTGTTGGTGGGAATTCCCACCCAGGAGACATTCGCGAGGGATGCATGGACAGTTTGCTTTGGGGACTATGCCGTTTGGTTGTGCTTTCCCTGTGCTGTAGGGTTCCTTGCTCACCCTCCCACACTTCCCTGCATGGATCCTGTCACTCCTGTGACTATTGTGTCATCTGTAACGCTGGGAGCAAGAGGAATGTGTGTGGGTGGATTCCAAGCTTCCTCTTGACTCCAAAACCCATGGCCAGACCGCAGCCCAGAATACACTCACTCACCTGCAGACAGTCCAGCCAGTAGCGCACGTGGGTGAAACTCTCTCGGGAGGTGACATCATACATGAGCACCACCCCCTCCGCCTTTCGAAGCAGCTGTCGGGTGAGGCTGTGGTACCTGCCCAAATGGTCTGCATGATGCCACCATGTCCAGAGCCTGGGGACCCCCCTAGTCCTACCCTAGGGGTGGATTGATGTATTTGGGGTCATCTGGGTCATCCCCCGTGTGCTGTGACATCTGGGTCTCTGCTTCATGTATGAATTTATCTCTAGAACAAGATTCCAGAAATGGGCTGCAGAGTAAGTTTTCACAGTAAGTTTCCCTTACTGTGGTCCGTGTGTTAGATGGAAGGCTTGCTGTCTAGAAGATTGGTCAGGGGAGAATGGCTCCTCATCCCGGCACCTGAGCTCACAGCCCCTCCTTCCTGATTCTCCGAGTCTTGGATCTCAGGGTCTCATTGCTTTAGTGGGTAGACTTGGTCCCCTCTCACCCAGGATGTAGGCCACTTTTTCCTCCCACACTCTGAGCACAGCCCCAGACCCTGACCACTGGCTGGAGCAGTCTGAATACCTCTCTTGTCCAGCTGTGTCCCACAGCTGCAGCGCAAAGGTTTTGTTGTCTACCATCAGGGTTTTGACACGAAAATCTACTCCTAGGACACATAGAAAAAGACAAGAGGCCTTGTACTTTCCACCCAGGACAGCCAACCCCAGATGCCCCAGGTCTGTGCCCACTCCCAACCCCAGCCTTAGAAGGACAGAGCCAACGCTGGGCTCCTCTGTGATCTCCAGAGGTCCCCACAATCAAGTGTCACACCTCCAAGCATCCTTCCCAAGGTGTCACTTCCCATGGAGTCACACTGTGTCCTCTGGGACTCCTGGAGCTAGTCTTCCATCTCTGAGCCTCCCTGTCTCTTCAATAAGCTGGCATAGACCCATAATGGCCAGTGTGGAGGGTGAAATGGCCTGTGTCTAAAGGCTCCCCGGGGGTTTCTGCTAGGTAACCAAGGTGACTGCATTTGTCATCCCTCCACAGGCTGAGTCTCACAGCCCTGCTCTTCCCTGTAGTCACAGCTGCAGAGCCAGTTAGACCCTAGAATAAGGAGCTGATGAGAGTCTGAGCCCCTTCCAGCCAAGCCCTACTCCCCCACCCCCGTCAAAAAAATCCTGGATTCAGGAGAGGGGGGGAGGGGACTGGTGAGATGGCTCAGCGGTTAAGAGTCCTTACTGTTACTGCAGAAGACCTGTTCAGGCCCCAGCACCCACATTAGGCATTTCACAAGTGCCTGTAACCCCAGTTCCAGGGTAATGAATACCCTTTCTAGCCCCCATGGGTAACAGTACAGAGATGTGCATATCCGCATACAAGACACCCAAAGAATAATTAAATAAATATTTTTAACTGGGAGGGGGTGCTCTGTCCCTGTCTCCATCCCCTTTCCTGTGGAGCCCACTGCAGCCTGGCAGCTCCTGACACCCACAATTTATTTAGGTGAGAGGTTTCTATGGTGACCGCTGTAAGTACATGCTGCTGCCCCCTAGTGGTGGTTCGCACAAACACCCCCACCCCCACCCCACCCCACCCCAAGTCTCCTCCAAGAAGACTAACCCTACAAGGCAATCGATTTTCTTCTTTTCAGCCCCTTCCTGAGGCTCTTAGGAGCCCAGGACTGCAGAATCCTGAGACTGCCACATTCAGCTGCACACCCACCAGGCCACTCACCAATGGCTCTCAGCCATTCCTGCTCATCCCCTTTGATTTCTGCCCCATCATCTACCCACCCTGTGTGCCCCCAAAACTCCATTCAGCTAAGCCACATAAACCATCAGATATGCAAAGTTTGGTCTTTGTTGAACACTTCTGGTTCAATGGTGCAGCCCACGTACTAGCAACAATCAAGGGCAGAGCTGGGCACCCAGGGGTCAAGCCTTCCCTGGGAGGGCCTAAGCTTTGAAAGTGGGGGGGCCCTGAGCTTAAACCCTGAGCCCAAGTGAGGGCAAGAAACCCAACTAGGACTCAGTCCTCTGCCACCAGTAGGGACCACATTGAGAATCACATGTGGAGATCTCTGACTCTACCCGATGCCCTCAAATGCATTGGGCAAGGGTTTTGATTTTTTGAGAGGGGCTGGGATGGAGTGGACACCTGGCTGGCTACAGCTGCAAGCATGCTCTGTCTGAACTGTGTGAAACTGACACAGACTGGGCATCGTGGGGCTGGGGAGATAGCTCAGGGCTTCAATACTTGCCAAGCAAGCCTAAAGACCGGAAAACAGATACCTAGAAAGCCACATTAATGCTGGGTGGGCATGACAGCCTGCCTGCCATCCACTCTCAAAGGGACTCCCCAGAGCAGAGCATGCCAGCCATGGAGACCAGACATATCAGCGAGCTCAGGGCTTAACTGAGAGACTCTGCCTCAATGAATAAGAGGGAAGAGTGATCTCGGACATTTCCCAAAATCAGATTCACGTTTCCACATGCATGCATGTACATACACATATGTATAAAACATGCTATAACCCTAGCCTCAGGGTGGTAGGGACAAAGACCGGCTGCTCTCTGGATCTCATTGTGTCTAACCCCTTCCCTGTGAGCACCTGTCCACTAACACCAGAGCTTAAATCTACTAGAACTCTCAATAAATCCTAACTCTGATTCATATTGCCTCCTATGGCAAAGTCCAAGCCCAGAGGGGAGGTTGCAGAACAAGCCCTAGTCTCCAGCCCATTCCCACAGAGGCCGACAGATCTTTCTGCCACATGATAAGAAGGGGTGTGATTGTTCTAAGTATGGACTTGACACAGTGTAGAATGGCAATGGAGTCCCCACGAGGAATTGTCTAGGATATGTTGAACTGTGGGCATGCCTAGGAGGGATGTTCTTACTGGGGTAAATTAATATGGGAAGACCCACCCTGAATGTGAACAGCATTGTTTCACAGGCTGGGCCCTGGGCTCAATGAAAAGGAGGCAAAGCTGAACCTCATCAGGAATGTTTAACTCATTGTTTTCCTGACTGTGAATGTAATACATCCAGCTGCTTGGCTGCATTGACATCCCTACAACTGTGGACTGTCCATCAAAATGTCAGCTAAAATAACTTAGGTGATTAACAATGGTGGCCATGTGTCACTCTTTTCTAAGGATGCTATCTTTAACATGGTATCCTGGTTAGTTTTCACTGTCAACTAGAACAAGCTGGAGTCATCCTGGGAGCATGAACCCCAACTGAAGAACTGCGTCCATCAGACTAGCTGTGTCTATAAGTCTTACAGTGTAAGACAATGTCTTGAAAGTCAATGTGGGAGGGCCCAGCCCACCATGGGCGTCACCATCCCTATGCAGGTGGGCCTGGGCTGTATAAGACAGTTAGCTGGCCATAAGCCAGTAATTAGTTCTCCATGGTTTCTGCTTCAGGTCCCTGCCTTGAATTTGTGCCTCCTCGACCCTTAGTGATGGGCTGTGACCTGGAAGTGCAGGTTGAAATAAATCCTTTGCTCCTCTAAGTTTCTTTTGAGAATGAGGTAATCTCACCAATCTGACCAAACTAGGACAGCTAGTTAGGATTCTTGGGCAAAGAAACCCTAGAGCCTGCCAAAGGGCTCTCTTACGACAGGGTGGTGTTAAGCCATCTGCTTGGCCCTGACTCCTAATTAGCCTGTACCCTGATATAAAGACACACCACTCCACCTTTGTCCCTCTCATAGGACAAATGAATTATCATGCTAAAACATTTAATTATAATATGAGAACCATGGGTAACATGGACTGAGAGTACAATGCATGCCAGGCATTATTCTCAACCTGTGTGAGCCCACAACCGGCAGCTCCCATCTCCACTGTCAGATAAAGATGTGGGGACCAGAGGGAACTGGACCTGGACTGTCCCCCTGCAAAGGGCCACCTGGTGCTATTGGGAGGCGGAAGAACTAAGAGGTGAGGGCTGGAGCAGAGGCTGCTCCTCCAAAGGACATAGGCTCAGTTCCCAGCACCCACCACCATCTGTAACTCCAGTTGAAGGTGATATCACACCCTCTTCTGACCTCTGAGGGCATCAGGCATCCATGTGGTACAGGCAGAACACCCACACACATATAATAATAATAATAATAATAATAATAATAATAATAATAATAATAATAATGAAGTGAGAGCATTTGGGAGGCAGGTAGATCTCTATGAGTTCAAGGCCAAGCTGGTCTAGTGAGTTCTAGGACAACAGCCAAAGCTGCATAGAGAGACCCCTGTCTCAAAAAAAAAAGTGAGGCCTGGCTGGCACTGAAGTCTTCTGGTCATCAGGCACCTGCCCTCAAAGTGAATCATGGGACCCTGGCTCTTTCTTCTTCTCTGCCCCCAACTCCCACCCATATTGATGGGGTCTCATGTAGCCCAAGCTAACCTCAAGTTTGCAGAGTAGCCAAAGATGACCTTGAACTTCTGATCCTCCGGTCTCTACCTCCTGAGTGCTAGGATCACAGGCATGTACCATGCTCTGCTTAAGTGATGCTGAGATCAAAGCCCCGGTTTCACACACACCAGACCAGTGTTTTGCCTCTTTGGCTTCCTCTTCCTCTCTCACTCCCCTGCAGCACCATGAGCAGTTTGGCCCCAGAGTATGTCTCCCGCCATAACACACTGCTTTGCCGCAGGCTCAAAGGCAACAGGACCAATGGTGAACCAAAATCTCTCAGAATAAACCTTCTATAAGCCGACTGCCTCGGGACATTGTGACACAAAGCTACAGAGTCAAACAAGATGTCCAAGTTCACAGCCACAATGAGTGGTAGGACTAGAATTAAAACCTAGGCCCCCTAGGGTCCTATCTTGCCACACTCTAAATATATTCTATGTAAGATACGCAGCTTGTGACCTCCTGCCAGGGCATGCAGGCAGATCTGGGGCATGTTGTGAGCATGTCCAGGCTCTATAGGGAACTGCCTACCACATGGGTGGAGACTAGCCTGTTTTCACCCTCCACTAACACCAGGTCCTAAATTGCACAGTGTTTGCTCCTGTGGCACCTATCAGCTAGCCAGATCAATGCAGTGAGAGCAAATTACCTGTAATTAGAGGCAATTAGTGGAATGCTAAGATTATGCCCATATAAAATAATGCCTCATAAAGGCTCTGGCCAAGGCAGAACCTGCCATGTCTTAGGGACTGTTCTAGCTTGCTGGCCCTGGCCCAAGACCTCCCCTCCAGAGCTAGCTCCCCAAGGGGCCTTACCTACAGTGGCTGTCAGCCCAGTGGCAAAGGCATCGTGATGTAACAGGTGTAGGAATGAGGTCTTCCCCACATTGGAGTCCCCCAAGAAGATGACATGGTAGAGGTAGTCGGGGTCAGCCTGAGGCTTGGCAGCAGTGAGGTCCCCACGGAAAGTCATTTCAGCCTCCCCCAAGTCTGTTCCTGGGTCCTCCGACCTGCTCTCTGTCCCTGGCTCTGTGTGCTGAGGGGTACTGGGTTTCGCCACCTGAACAGGCAGGGACATGGGCCTGGGCTGGGCTTCCAGTTCAGCCAAGGTGAGGAGGGCTTGTGTGGTCCCTGGGGCTCCCACTGCAAGTCCAGCCTCAAGCCCCATGGGCAGAGAGTCTCTAAGTGGACACATTTTGCCAGGAACAGGGACTTCTGCCTTCCCAGGAGCCTGTGGTGTGTCAGGCAGGGGATCATCTTGTTGGGGTAACTCTGGGTTCCTGGCTTCCAGGCCATGAGCCTCATCAGCCTGTTCTGACCCCAGGTCCTGCTGGCCTCTCCCTCCTGAGTTTCCTTCCTCAGGCCTGGGCTGCTCTTTGGGACTCTGGAGGAGGTGGGAAGACAGGCTATCAAGCCTAAGGTCATGGCCATGGGCTTCTTGGAAACCCCTAGGATGACTCTCCTGTCTAGTTAGACGTGTCTCACCCTCCACTGATGTCTCTGTGGGTACCTGGTCCACAGGCTCCAGGCTTGGGGAGAGCTCTGCAGCCCCCTCGGGAAGAGACGTGGCTCCCTGGGACCCTAAGCCCAGCTTCAGGTCCTTTGTCAGGACCTCTCTTTCCATAGGCAGCTTGGCTGAATTAGGTCCAGACCAGGGGCTCTTGCTACCCAGATCTGGGGCCTGGGACTGTTTGCTGGAGCCAGGTGGGGACTGAGGAGGAGGCTCAGCCTCAGACATAAGTAGCACTCTGAAAGCCGCTGCCTCCATGTTCCCAGACTCCCCAGCCTGGGCTCCTGGCAGGCTCCAGAGGAAGGGGGACTTGGGTCTAGCTTCCAGGTCAGGGGAGTCCACAGCCTGCTTAAAACTGCCATCCTGTCCATCCTGTCCATCCTGCCCCTCAGGATCCTCCAACCCTTTCCTATCTTTGGCAATGGGAGGCACCCTGGTGGGGCTTCTTGAACCTAGGTCTGGATCTGAGGTTGGCTCCTGAGCAAACTGTAAAGCAGTTATATTGGAAATGGAGATCTGCCTAACAATTCGAGGAGTCTGGGGGCCTGGGGGGCCTGAGGTGCTACTCCCACTTGGGATTGGGGGTGGGCTCCAGCAAAGCTGCAGGGCTTGGTGGGACATGTCTCCAAAGCTGTTCAGGAGCTGGTCCCAGTCGTCATTGTCCTCAAACAGCTCAGGCAGTGGGGTCTCCTCAGTGGGGACAGCCAGAGGGTCTGAGGCCTTCTGATTTTCTCTGGGGTCTCTGGGAAGGAAGGGGGAAGCAAAGGTCAGGGAGGTGGCAATTAATGTGTCCCCCCCATCCTGATAACATAACTTTCCCTGTGGCTAGCTCTCCTCCAGTCCCCCCCATCCCATTCCATACCTCAAAACCCACACGAAACTTCAGCTCTTCCAAGAAGCCTGCCCTGACCAGGCAAGCTTTCTTGCCTCTGAGCTGTTAACAAACAGAGCCAGTTCCTGCTTAGGAGCTGTGTGTGTGAGTGTGAGTGAGTGTGAATGTGTGTGTGTGTGTATTGTGAGTGTGTGTATATATGTGTGCGTGACTGTGTGTGTGATTCTGTGTATGTGATTGTATGTGTGCATGATTGTGCATGATTGTATGTGTGTGATTGTGTGATTGTATGTGTATGTGTGATTGTGTGATTGCATGTGTTGGTGTCTGTGTGATCATATGTGTGTGTGTCTGTGACTGTGTGTGTGACTATGTGCGTGTGATTGTGTGTGTATGATTGCATATGTATGTGTGCATGGTTATGTATGCATATGTGTGTGATTGTATATGTATGTGTGTGTGTCTGTGGGATCGTATGTGTGCATGAGTGTGTATATATGTGTGTGTGTGTGTGCTGAAATCTAACTAGCTCCATGGAGAATGGGCTTTAATGGAGTCCAGAGAAGGCAGTTACTTGCCTTGGTTCTTCTGCTATCTGCCAGGACACTCTGCCCCTGGCAGTATTCAGACATCCCCTTGCCACCTGTAACTGTCCCCGTATCTCTTCCAGCTGCCCAGCCAGGTTGTGCTCAGCCTCCCTGAGCTGCAGGTTCTCCCGGCTGGCCTCCTGCTGGCTGCTGCTGAGGTGGAGAAGCTGGGCCTCCAGCTGTGGAGGGTAGAAGAGAGGAGAGGGTTGAAGTATTCCTCTAGGGTGACAAAGAGTCTCCAAGTCGTTGGTGAGGCAAGGACACCCTGCCCTGCCCCTTGCCCCCCACTGCCCAGCTCCTGAAGACCCAGCTTAAGCGTTCGATAACGGGAGGGGAGGTCACTCTGACATGTGGGTAACTGGGAGGAAACCATGATGAGAGGGTGGGAGGTCCTCACCGCCCCCTTCCCAGGTTACATCCTGCAGCTACTGCTGTTCCTGATTTCATCTCAATTGCAGGGACTTCTGGCCCAACAATGACTCGGGTTCCCACAGCAAGATCCCATGGGCAAAAGCACAGCCACAGCAAGACCTGTAGCATACAGGTCTACGGTGACCTGTTAGGTCCTCAGCGTTCCCACCACCTGTTAAGAACCTGCACAAGGGCCAGGTGGTGATGGTGCACACATGCCTTTAATCACAGCACTCAGAAGGCAGAGGCAGGCAGATCTCTGTGAGTTTGAGACCAGCCTGGTCCACAAGAGCTAGTTCCAGGACAGGCTCCAAAGCCACAGAGAAACCCTGCCTCAAAAAAAAAAAAAAAAAAAAAAAAAAAAAAAAGAACATGACTGCTCAGATGACAATCAAGCTCCGGCTCTCACATGGCCCAGGCTAACCTTGAACTCCTGATTCTCCTTCCTCCACCTCCAAGAGCTGGGGTTACAGGCCCCCATACCCAGCCTATCCAAAACTTTCCCTCTTGCAATTGTCCACATACACAACCTTATTTGCCATGTGAGGCCTGGGACACCTCCTTCTCACAGATGCTGAAAAGCTGAGGCTAGATAAGCTCCAGGCTCATTTCCCTGGGTCTGCCTGGCTCTTTATGGGACCTGATCTGACCCATGACAGTGTCCCCAGGGCACTGGGGAGAGAGCCCTGCTCTGGCAAGGAGCAGCCCAGGGAGTTCTTGGCTGCCTGTGGCCTCTGGGGACCTGTCCAGCTGGGAATAGTGAAAAGGCTGTCTGGGCTCCAGAAGGCCTTGCTCACCTCTCTCTGGCCCTCTGACAGCCGCTGAACCTCTTGCTCCTTGGCCTCCAGAACCTCCTGCATGCGGGTGCTGAGGGCCATTCCCTGGGAGTCGCTCTGCAGAGAAAACGGGTCAGCCCTGCTCTGCAGACTCCAGAGCCAGCTCGGCTGGCCCGGCCCTCCCCACCTCACCACCCTGGCCTGGGCTTTAAGAGCTGAACGCTAACCAAAAAGAGGACTTTGGGGCTCCCCACTTGGGCTTGATCTCTCACAAGGACACTGAAGCCCAGGACTAGAAATAAGTCCCGGTGAACAGTGATGCCTCGCAGAGCACAAGCTGCAGGATAGGGGACTGCCCATGGCCTCTGTTGCCCTGCTAGGTCTTAGCCACTAGTAAACCAGGAGGGGCATTTCTCAAGGGCAGGGCTGCAGCCCAAGGCACTCACCTGAGCTTGCAGCTGCTGCTTCTCCTTGCTGATCTGCTCCTCAGTCTCTTCATAGAGCTGTCTCACCTTATGGAGATGGTCAGAGTCTTGCCTGCAGTGGCAGGAAGTGAGGACCAGATGCCAGCCCCTCAAGACCTCTGGAACTCTATGCCTGGGGCCCTTCTGCCTTGCTTACTCCTAGTGGCCTCAGACCCTCAGGTCACTCTGGGTCTATGGCACTGGTCATACCTCTATTGGTGTCCCCATCTCCCACCCTCTCTATGGTCCCCACTCTCTACCCCAGTCACCCTCAGTCACCCTCCTGGCCCCATGACTCAGGCCCCCATGACAGAACTATGACAGTGACAGGGTCATGAAATAGGCCCCTGGAGTTTCTTCCTCCTCTAACTTAGCTCTGCCTGCCCAGTCACTCTAGAAGGGAGTAGAATCTCACTTAGGATTTCACAGCATAAAAGGAACGCCTGCTATGTCCCCACTCACTTCCTCAGTGTCCACTCCAGCGCCTCCCGGTCAGCCCGAGCCTCCTGCAGGCGGCTGCTCATCTTGGCCAGAAAGCCCTCCAAATTGTCAGCCAGCTGGGGCTCCTCATGCCGCAGCTCCGCCCATAGCTTCCAGAGCTCAGCCTGTCTGGAGTATGGGAACCCCCAGAGGTTAGATCTGAGAGGGCCAAGAAGTGGAGGGCTTCTGCAGGCTAGCTTCAGGCTTGCTATGTAGCAAAGGATAACCTTGAACTCCTGATTCTCCTGCCTCACCCCCCAAATGCTGGGATCACTGCATCCTCCTATGTTATGCGGTACAGGGATGGAACCCATAGTTAGGGTCATATATGCTAGGCAAGCATTCTACAAACTGAGCATTATCCACACCCCTATCCTCAGTTCTAATGACAATGCTCCCAGAGACTTGGGAACCTGACACACAAAATACTACAAAGTTTAACTCAAGTAAGTGTCACCTCCTCCTGGAACATTTCTGTATGTGAGCTGGCCCTTCTTGAACCCTCTGTACCACTTGTTTCCTTGTGAGTCAGTGATTAATGGGGGTGGGGTGGGGTAGACTTGGGGGTCCAACAGCTCAAGCCTTCCATCCATCTTCTCCCTTCTCCCATTTTGAGTTGTGCGGTTTCTGCCTTTAACCTCCATGTGCTCACTGGGAAAATACGAAGGCCAATACTTGCTGAGCAAGATTGGGGAATGAGAGACATGCCAAGTGTGGGTGCCAGCCCTGGGCCCTGCCCACGGTTGGCACTCAGGACATACTACTTTCACATGGACTTAATTAAGTCATGAAGACAGAGGCCCAGAGGGCGAGGGAGCAGGACCAAGCTGCCAAGTGGGTAAATGGCTCCCTGTTTCACCTGCTCTGCCAGCCTACGCCCCAGGTCCCTCCCAGCCTGTCCCACAGCAGCAACCCCACCCTCTGAACCAGATGGGAGCAATTTTATCCTTCAGAGGCCTGTGGGTGGAGGAGCAAGTGGGAGAGGGTGGCTGACTGGGAGTCTCTGGCTGGCTCTAGCAGGCTTCAAGGCTGTGGCAACTCAGGAAGGGGCCCTCTTCTCAGCACATAAGATACCACCCCCAGTACACCCAGGGCCTGAACCCAACACACACGGCAGGAATTGGCCTCCCATCTCCAAGCCCAGAGCACCACCATGCCTGAAGTCACCTCACTGAGGGACCCTGAGGGAGTCTCCAGGTGCTCCTCAGAGGTGATGCTCTAACTAGCTGATCTTTCTAGGGAGTGTGGAGAAAGGGAACCCTCTAGGCATGCTGTAGCAAGGAACGGAGAGCAGAGGTCACACACTAAGTGGCCAAGCTTGGATCTGCACCCAGCCCTACCCTGAGCCCTCATCCCTACCAACTAGCAGGGCCTTACTCAGAAAGGGAGTGGTCGGTCCCCATCTGCCCTACAAGGGCCAGGAAGGCCTCCTTGTCCTCGGCATTGGCCTCCTCGAGGGCAGGCAAGTTGAAGGTCACAGATACCGGTTGAGAGAGCACTGGCCGCTTTCTACGGAGCCTGTGGGTACTGGGACTGGAGCCAAAGACATTTTCTGGAGGAGAGAGGGGAATAGAGGGGAGATGAGGCTGTGATTTCACTTGAACCCCACCCCATATTTAAACAGGGATACATTCATGCATGCCTCAGGTCAGCCTTGAGAGTCTCATGAAGTGGGAGTGCCCATTTCACATATCGCCTGAGGCCCAGGGTGTCCAGAGACTCTCTGGAAGTCACAGGGCAACTCCTGGATAGCTCACAGGTTTCATCCAGTCAGGAAGTGTTCATTGAACACTCACTGAGAGCTGGTGACAGATTTCATCCACATCCCAGGCCCTGGAGAGCTGACAATCTAGCTCAAGGGTTGAAAAGGACATGTCTTTTCCTGTGTGTGTGTGTGTGTGTGTGTGTGTGTGTGTGTGTAAGCACATATGTATACATCTTCTCCCGTGTGTGTATAAGCACACATGCACATGTCTTCTCCCGTGTGTGTGTGTGTGTGTGTGTGTGTGTGTGTATGTGAGCACACACGTGCACCACACTATGCATGTGCAGTCAGAGGACAACTTTCAGGAGTCAGTTCTCTCCTTCTGTCAAGTGGGTTCTGGGGATTGAACTCAGGTCATCAGGCTTGGTGGCAATCAGCCTTGCCCCCTAAGCCATCTTACAGGCCTTTTTTCTTATTCTTTTTCATAAAACAAATCTGTTAAGTGACCTCTAGAAATAAACTAGAGGGATGCTGGAGAGATGACTCAGTGGTTAAGAGCACTGGCTGCTCTTCCAGAGGATGTGGGTTCATTTCCCAGCACCCACATGGCAGCTCTCAACTGTCTGTAAATCTCGTTCCAGTGTACCTGAAACCTTCACACCAATGCACACAAAATAAATTTAAATAAATTATTGAAAAAAAATAAACTAGAACCCAGGAGGGAGAGGTAGGAGTATTTCTGTGAGTTCAAAGCTAACCTTGTCTCCATAGGGAGGTCCAGATGGAAGGAGAGGAAGCCTAGGAGTGTCCTGAGGAGATGTCAAGACCCCTGAGATGTGACTTGGAAGCAGGGCCTGGAGTGGGTTTCCAGAGGAGGACACTTGGGGCAGAAAGAAACCCCCATACAGGCCCGCGTGAGGAGCAAGGCTGGGACAGCAGAAGGGCAGATGGTCGTGGGTTAGCCTGAGAGGCTGGATCAGCATGGTGTGTGCTCTGTGATCCCAGAAAGGGGCAGTGGGGAAATCCACAGGGTGGGATTTGTCCTCGAAGATGGCGCTTGGAGACTCTGTGCACTCAGCACTACCCACCCCCAGTTTCAGGCTAGTCCCTCCACTTCACCCCCACCAAAACACAGGAGATAGCCAGACTGTGAATACTGATACCTGGCCCCTCTGCTGTCTCCTACACCCTAAACTTTCAAGCCCTGCAGCCTAGGGAACCCAATGGGCCATGCGATTGCTCAAGGCTAAGATACCTTGTTGAGGCACTGAGAGGAAGCTGTCTCCTCTGCTCTAGTTCAAAATGCATGCCCCACAGAAGGGCTCATTTGGGGGAGTTGCCCTTATGCCAGCGGTCCCTTCTGAGGGGCAAATGGTAGGAGGTCTGTGCCATAGATACCACCCCTATCTCTGGTGCTAGTGTTTCACCTGCTCTCTATCCCTCTGGGACCTGGAGCCTGGAGTTGCCTTGACTGAGTTTGGAAAGTGACCTCCTGGGGTGGTGGGGGGAGTGAGCAGTTGCAGCCCATGGACTCCTGTCAAAGCCAGGAAGCCTTTCTCCTCTACATGAGAATACCAGGAAGGGTGCTAGGGAAGCAGCCTATAGCTCTCAGATGTAGTAAGGGCCCCCTGGCCTGTCACACAGCCCAACACTGTGCTAGAAGCCTCCAGGGCCCTCCCAGGACAGACACATACTGAGTCCAGAGCTGAATTCATCCAGTGGCAGGCGGCCTCTGTTCTCGATGTCTATCCAGTCAAATATCATCTGCGGCTCCTCGCTCCCCAGGAAGCTGAACTTGACCTCCTGCAAGAAAGGGATCAGTCAGTTGGCCACTGCTCCTACAGGAGAGGCTGTGCACAGAGGGAAGGGTCTGTCTTCAGCCACCCTGATTTCCTTCTTCCCTGAAATAGGGCCACTCAGGGCCTGCCCTGAGCTGTTCCACACATGGCACTAGGCATCCTTGAGTAGGGCCCTGAGCACACTGTGCACATCACCTCCTTATCGACACCCAAAACCTACACCTATGTGCCCCACCCCGGTGGTGCAGGGGGTATTTGAATAGCATCTGGCACTTGTTTGTTTGACTGATTGTTTTGGGAGGGTCTCTATTATGCAGCTTTGGATGTACTGGAACTTACTACGTAGACCAGGTTAGCCTCAACCTCAGAGATCCACCTGCTTCTGCTTCTAGAGTGCTGGGATCAAAACTGTGGTAGCATACACCTTTAATCCCAGCACTTGGGAGGCAGAGGCAGGCGGATCTCTGAGAGTTCCAGCCCAGCCTGGTCTACAGAGTGAGTTCCAGGACAGTCAGGGTTACACAGAGAAACCCTGTCTTGAAAAGCCAAACTAAGAAAAAAGTTTTTAAAATTGCTGAGCAGGAAAGAGGGCTGCAGTAGCTAAGAGCCTGGGTTGATCTTTCAGAGGACCTGAGCTGGGTTCAGAGCAGTCAGGCAGCTCACAACAACCCCTGTAACTTTAGCTTCAGGGGATCCAACTCTCTCTTCCGGTCTCTGCAGGTACCAGCATTCATAGGCACAGCTGTGCACATGTTTGTGGAGGTCAAGAGACAAACTTGGCCATCGGTCCCCAAGCACCATCCATCTTTGTTTGAGAGTGCTTGGCTGCTCTGCAGCTCTCCAAGTAGGCTTAGGTAGCTGGCAAGCCCTGGGGACCTGCATATCTCAACCTCCCCGGGTCTGAGAGTACAAGTGTGTCTCCATAAATGTTTGATGCATACATCTATTTTACAGGCCTGTATTCCCAGATATGTAAAATATTTCTCCAGTGAAAGGAGCCAAGTGGAAAAGTTTAAGAAGCCATGCCCTAGACCACAGAGTGTAGCTAATTCACCTCATGAAACTGATTAAGGCAGAGTCACGTGTGAACTTGCTGATTCTGCCCAAGAACATTGTAGATAATTTCTGTCTGATGAGACAGATAACTCTAAGATTTATAGCCTGTTGGACTTTCACTAGCTGTAAAAAAAAAAAAAAAAATACTAACTCAGCAATCTGACTCTAATCTGTCTTTGTTAAATTGCCCAACTTTTTAAAAGTGCTCTTTGAACCATCATAACACTAATTAACATGTTAAGTAAACTCTTTGAGGGCTTGGGATGTGGCCTGGTGATAGAGTACTCATTTAGCATGGAAGAAATAAAACATCCTACTTTGACACAAGTCTGTTTTGTACTTGCCTATAGGTCATGATTTTACTTCCTGAACAATTACCCTCTCATTATCCTAGAGGTGCTGGGCTAGTGAATTCACCCACATAGTCATGTAGGAAGCATTACTGCTACACAGGTACACCTCAGGGCCTTCTGAGCCCCAGGGCTTCTTGGCTCTCAGTGGGGATCCTAAGTGTAAGAATTTTAGGGTCTTTATTGCTGTTGGTATGCTGTTCCCCACCCCACCACAGTGAGATCTCTTGTAGCCTAGGCTGGTCTCAAACTCACTATTTGTAGCCAAGGATAATCCTGAACTTCCAAGCCTCCTGCCTCCATCTCCCAAGTCCTGGGATCACAAGTGTGCTGGATGGTTTAATGTCAAGTTGACACACAAGCTAGACACACTCCCTCTCAGTTGTCAGAGAGGGAGCCTCAACTGAGAAAATGCCTCCAGAAGATCAGACTGGGGGACATTTTCTTAGTGACCCATGGGCCCAGCCCACTGTGGATGGTGCCCCCCCCACTGGAGGTCCTGGGTTCCTTAAGAAAGCAGGTTGAGCAAGCCACAGGGAGCAAGCCAGTGAGCAGCACCCCTCTATGGCTCTGCCCCAGCTCCTGCCTCCAGGTTCCTGCCCTGGTCGATTTCCTGTCCTGACTTCCTTCGGTGGTGAACCTGTTCTTCCCCAGGTTGCTTTTGGGCATGGCGCTTCATCACAACAATAGAAACCCTAACTAAGACAACAACAGGCATGTGCCACCACCTCATCTCTTCTTCCATTTGTGTGTGTATTCGGGGTTCAACTCAGGTCACCGGGTTTCGTAGCTGGCTGCTTTAGACACTGAGCTTTCTTCTGGTGCAGGTGGCCTCTGAGGCCAGGGGCATCAGACCCCTGCAGCAGTAGCAGCAGCAGCAGCAGGAGGCTGAGCCACCTGATGTGGGTGTTGTCAATCAAGCTTGAGTGCTCTCAAGGAGTTCTGTAGGCTCCTACTGGCAGAGCCTTGGCTCCAGTCCCTTCCTGCTCTTTAACACACCAGAATCAGCACACCTCCCATAGGAAGGAGCTGAATTCTCTCACAGTCACATTACCTTCTGTGATTATTTCAAAATGCATTGTTCTCCTGTGCTCTCTTTCTCCCCCCACCCCATTTTTTACTTTTAGCTGAGCATATTGGTACATGCCTGTAATTTCAATGTTTGGGAAGCTGAGGCAGGAGGATTGCGGTGAATTCAAGTCCACTCTCAGCTACACAGCAAGACACTATCTCAAAACAAAACAAAACAAACAAACAAGCAAACAAAAATCAAAAGAAGAGCCAGTGACCAGTGACATTGCTCACCTGGTTACAGCACTTGCCATGCAAACCTCATGCCCTGACTTCCATGTCCATAACCACTTGTGTACCTTGACATGAGTGTGCTCACACATACACATCCTATATACACAATAATGATAATATTAATAATAGTAATTGTGAAGAGACTAGGCTGGGGGTGCTATGGGGGTGGGGGGTAGAGCACTTGCACAAAGTACTAAGTTCAATCTCCAGCCCCCCCCCCACGTAAATTCTGTGGCAATGCACAGTGGGGCACTTGGGAGGCAGAGGCAGGCGGATCTCTGTGAGTTCGAGGCCAGTCTGGTCTACAGAGTGAGTTCCAGGGCAGCCAGGGTCACATGGAGAACTCTGTCTAGGAAAAAAAAAAGAGGAAGAGAAGGAAAGAAAGCTGAGCACCAGTGTTCTGTCTCTACTTCCTAATTGGACACGATGTAACCATCTGCCTCAGGCTCCTGCTACTGTGCCTTCCACACCATGACCGATTGTGGGCCACAATAAATCCTTTTTCTCTTAAGTTGCTTCTGTTGGGTTTCACTTTAGTTTCTCATTGCTATAGCAAAGAAAAAAGGAATTAAAACAGCTGGTTATCTAACAGAAACCAGTAACACCAGGAGGCTTTAAAAGCTCCACATATGATTACATGTGGAAATTTCTAGACAGGAGCTGGTTTTGGTCTCAGTGTTGATTTTGCAGCTTAAGCCTAAGGAGGTTTGTGTGTTTATACCCTGGCTTCACCTGTAGCAACAACTAACCAAAGTCAACCCAACCATCTCTTCATACATCAAGAAATACAGAAATTATTTAAAACCATAAGAAAAATTATCTGAAACTTGAGAATAAGACAAAAAGATAAGATCATCTGTAATTATACAGAGGTGGAGGCTGGCCACACACTGTCCAGACCAGAGGAGTGGACTGGCTGTCTCATCTTTTTCCTTTTGTTTTTGAGACAGGGTCTCACTATGAAGACCTGGATAACCTGGAGCTCAGTATGTAAATGGCCTCCTTGATGAAAAGCCACAGATAAACCCTGTCTCAAAACAAAAACAAAAACAAAGCAAAAAGAAAGAAAGAAAGAAAAGAAAAGGTCTAGACTCTGTGTGATGCAAAGCAATCTCTGAATCTAAGCATCCCTCCTGGTAGACAGAGGAAGTTATGTGACTCTCTAAGCTCTAGTCACATGTCAAGGGAAGCTGACACTTGCATGACTCTGGAGGATCCCTCCCCAGCCTACTTTGCAGCTACTGCTGCAGAGCAGATTCCTGGACCATTGAGCTGCCTGCAAATTGTGCAGAACTCCAGGGTTGCAGCTTTTGTGAGTCATCACCCCTATTGGAGTGGGCTCTTTGATGATGCAGTTGCTTCTGGTTCTCCACTTCCTTTAAATTCTAATCCCTGCTCCTGTTAGGAACCCCAACACGAACTCATTGGTTCAACCAAGTTGGGCCTTAGTCTGCTGTGGAATCCCTTGCTTGGAGCTAGTAGCACTGTGCGTGTGTGTGTGTGTGTGTGTGTGTGTGTGTGTGTGTGTGTGTTTTGCACCTCCCCAGAAAAAGTCTCTCACATACTACCAAGCAAGCATGATGACCTGAGTTTGATCTCAAGGACCTTGTAAAAGCAAGCTAGATTTGGGTGTCTTGTCCCTAATCCCAACTCTTCTACTCCTAGATGGGAGATGGGAACAGGAGAATAGACCAAAGCTTGAACAGCACAGTGGCAGAAGCAAGAGAGACCCTACCCCTTCTACAAACACACCCATGCATGAACACACACATGCACAAACACACTCATACACAAACACACCCATGCATGAACACACACATGCACAAACACAGTCATATACAAACACACCCGTGTACTCTTGAACACACACACATACACACCCATATAGAAAACACAACCATGCACAAACATACAAACACACTCATGCACAAACACATACATATACACATGCACAAGCACACACATATACAAATACACCCATGCACAATAGAACACCACATACATACACAACATGCCTATGCACAAACACACACATGCACTAGAACACACACAACACACACAGAGAATCTTATTTTTAAAGTCTCAGACTTCCTGAAGTTCCTCATTAACTTAAGAGTTTTGTCTAGGAAGTATAAAGTCAGTGTCTGGCAAGGATTTAGGAGCTGTTGGACATTAGCCATTTTTTTTTCAAATTGAACTCGGCAATCTTACCCTAACACCTTCCTGTCAAACTGCTTATGAGTATCCGAGCTCAAGGGCTTGGGCACTAGTCATGACATTTTACTGTAATCCTTAGTTAATTAATAATAAGATAAGATCTGTTTAGGCTGGTGAGATGGCTGCCCAGGTAAAAGCGCTTGCCTCTAAGCCTGACAACCTGAGTTTCACCCTGGTGGAAGGAGAGAACCAATTCACAGAGGTTGTCCTCTGACCTCCTCACATGCACTGTGGTGTGCATACTCCCCACCCACTTGCACATACACACAGAGAAATAAATGTGCCTGATATGTAGCCAAGGATGACTTCAATCTTCTGAGCTTCTTGCCTCCATCCCCTATGTGCTGGGATCACAGGTGTATGCCACAACACCCAGTTTTTCCTGTGCGGAAACCAAACCTGGGGCCTTGTGCATGCTAGGCAAGCGCTCTACCAACTGGACCACATCTCCAGTCTCTATGGCAACAGTTTTAATAGTGAAAGAGCAACATGAAGTGTGGAGTAACACCCAGAAATAACATCAGACCCATCAAGAGAGCAACCCACACAAGCAAATGAGAAGAAATCACCGGCCACCTTGGTCTGGGCCACAGGCTTTCATCCTCTTAGTGGAATCCATGGCTATGGCCACTCTCAAGGTTCACACTCATCAACCTACTTTGGTTCCTAGTGCTCTGATGCTCCCCAAGCTGAACATCTGGCTCTAAACATCTCAGTCGGGTAGGGTGGAGTCTGCCTGTCATCCCAGCACTGGGGAAGCTGAGGCAGGAGGCTGAGAGTTAGAAACCAGCCTACACAGAGAGACCCGTCTCAAAAATCTATCTCATAGCTGAATGGCGGTGGGACACGCCTTTAATCCCAGCACTGGAGAGGCAGAAGCAGGTGGATTTCTGTGAACTTGTGGCCAGCCTGGTCTACAGAGAGAGTCCAGGACAACCAGAGCTACAGAGGGAAACCTGTCTTGAAAACCACAAAACAAAAAAATTTCTCTCACCATAGCTGGGAAGATAGCCCGGGAGTTAAGAGTGCATACTACTCTTGCAGAGGACCCAAGTTTGGTTCCCAGCACCTGTGTAACTCCAGAACCCTCTTCTGGACACTGAGAAAGCCTGTACATCACCATACATATAGCCACACATATTCATTATTAAAAATAATAGAAATAGCCAAGCAGAGGGGTGGCACATGGCTTTAATCCCAGCATTCGAGGCAGAGGTAGGCAGATCTCTGTGAGTTCGAGGCCAGTCTGGTCTACAGAGTGAGTTTCAGAACACCCAGGGCTACACAGAGAGACCCTTTCTCAACAACAATAACAGTATCTTTTAAGAAATCACTCACACACACCATTTGTGAAGTTACTTCTATGGTGTGAAGTTCTCTCCTCTGTTAAAAGGCAAATGATTCTGGGAAAGAGTGATATACTAAATCTCATCAGTCACCTATGTGTTGGTGTAAACCAATTCTTAAAGTTTTCTAAGGGTACAGAGGGTGCAGAGGGGAATCCGCAGGCAAGCTAAGCTAAGCCCTGGTTAAATAGGAAAACTTGAGAAGCTGCACAAAAGGGATTCCAGGTTGATGGAACCCATGCTCACCGCCAGGTCCTCTCGAGTGACAAAGCCCCTCTCTTTGGCACCGCAGTCCCGTAAGAAAGATTGCAGCTCTTCCTCGGCCTGAGAGGGCCAGGATTCGGGCTCCGGGGCCACGGGGGCATCCTGACCATCTGCCGGTTCTCGTATCTGCCTCCGGCGACTGGATGCCAACCTCCGGCCCTTTCTGGACCCTCCCTTTCCATTCTCCATGGTGCCTCAGACCTGGGAACAGAGGATAAGTAAGAAGGTGATGGGCCACAACACAGAAAGCCCCAGCTCTGCGCCATGCCTACTAAGCACAGGCAATGTCTCCATCCTCCCATGACTGACGGACTCACCCTTCGTGTCCTGGTTCACCCACCATCATCTACCTGCTCAGGCCCCAGTGCCCTGTGGAAAATCCCCTCAGCATGGAACACTCCTGAGCTGTTCTCAGATCCGCCTGTGGGTCTCTACACCAGTTTCAAAGTCTCTACTAACGGCTGCATGGATGAACACCTGACAGAGAAGGTCCTGCCTCCTAACCTTGGGGAGACTTGGAGTCGTTGGGACTTTGGGGTCTGGAGGTGGGAAGAGATCCCTGACACCTTTTGCTGTTGTTCCCTCCAGCTCGGGTCCTCACTGCAGCCGCAACAGTGACTGATCTTGTTCTCCTCTGTGGTCTCCTCTCAGCCTCATCCCTCCCTCTTCTCAGTACACTATGGGTGTGCGTGTGTGTGTGCGTGTGTGTGTGCGTGTGTGTGTGGTGTGTAGGTGTGTGTGTGTGCGTGTGTGTGCATGCATGCGTGTGTGTGCGTGTGTGCGTGTGGTGTGCGTGTGTGTGTGGTGTGCGTGTGTGGTGTGTAGGTGTGTGTGTGTGCGTGTGTGTGTGCGTGTGTGTGCGTGTGTGTGCGTGTGTGTGTGCGTGTGTGTGTGTGGTGTGTAGGTGTGTGTGTGTGGTGTGTAGGTGTGTGTGTGTGTGGTGTGTAGGTGTGTGTGTGTGTGGTGTGTAGGTGTGTGTGTGTGCGTGTGTGTGTGTGTGGTGTGTAGGTGTGTGTGTGTGGTGTGTAGGTGTGTGTGTGGTGTGTAGGTGTGTGTGTGTGGTGTGTAGGTGTGTGTGTGTGTGTGTGGTGTGTAGGTGTGTGTGTGTGGTGTGTAGGTGTGTGTGTGTGTGTGGTGTGTAGGTGTGTGTGTGTGGTGTGTAGGGGTGTGTGTGTGTGTGTGTGTGGTGTGTGTGTGGTGTGTGTGTGGTGTGTAGGGGTGTGTGTGTGTGTATGTGTGTGGTGTGTAGGTGTGTGTGTGTGTGGTGTGTAGGTGTGTGTGTGTGGTGTGTAGGTGTGTGTGTGTGTGGTGTGTGTGTGTGTGCGTGTGTGTGGGTGTGTGTGTGGGTGGGTGTGGTGTGTAGGTGTGTGTGTGTGGTGTGTGTGTGTGTGGGTGTGTGTGTGGTGTGTAGGTGTGTGTGCGTGTGTGTGTGGTGTGTAGGTGTGTGTGTGTGTGTGGTGTGTGTGTGTGTGTGTGTGTGTGTTCAGAAGCCAAAAGAGAACACAAGATGCCTTGCTCTCACTGTCTTCTTTATTTCATAGTGTTTCTCATTGAACCTAGAACTTGCTGTTTTCCAGTGAGGGGGGCCAGCAGCCCCGGTGATCTTCTGTTACTGCCTGCCCAGCTCCTGGGTTGAGACACATGTGGCCAAGCTTGGCTTTTACATGAGTCCTGGGGATTTGAACTCTGGTCCTTGTGTTTGTGCAGCAAGTTCTCTTATCCACTGATGCCACACTCTCCTTTCTTTTTATGACATAATGGGAGCATCCCTCGTGCTTAGGGCCCTTCATGATGCACGCCGTCCCTTCTCTTTCCTCTCTTGCATCCTCCTGGTTTATAGGAACCAGTGTGGGCCCAGATGATTCCCTGAACACCAATTTTCCTCCCACCCCAGTTCCCTTCATCCCAAAACACCACCCACATCCAGCTAACTAGCATCTCCCACCCCACCTTATGGGCCCTCTCTGCAGGTACCCCATGCTTTGAGCTGGTTAAGGCCAGGCCCCTTGTGCTGCGTGCAGTGGGGGACCCTGCTGCCTAGAGTGTCAGACATGAGAAGAGTCTCCAGGAGGCTGGTTACATTTTCCTACTTGCTCGTTCTATAACCAAACTCCTTTACCACCAGGCAGTAACCCTAAAGGTATAAATAGGAATGAAATATGGCAAATGGATGTGTTTCATTTTGCAGAATTTGGAATATTAAAATATGTACATCACACTATAGATACATTTTCAGGGTTTCAATGGGCCACTGCTCTGAGCTCTGAAAAGGCTGATTCTGTTATCACACACCTATTGGAGGTAATGGCCATTATGGGCATACCTGCACAAATAAAAACTGACAATGCTCCAGCATATGTCTCCAGCAAATTGAAACAGTTTTTTGAGTATTACAAGATAAAGCACATAACTGGTATACCACACAATCCTACAGGACAAGCAGTGGTTGAGAGATCCAATCGTACTTTAAAAGAAATGCTCTATAAACAGGCAGGTGGAACCAAGACACCCAAACACAGATTACTTAATGCTTTATTAACATTAAACTTTCTTAATGCTGATGAAAAAGGAAAAACAGTGGCAGAAAGACACTGGACAATAGAAAAAACTTCTGAACTAAATCAGCCAGTGTACTTCAAGGATGTATTGACCTCAGAATGGAAACCAGGATATGTGTTATGTTGGGGTAGGGGTTTTGCATTTGTATCTACAGGAGAAGAAAAACTATGGATACCATCTAAGTTAATCAAGATCCGAGTTGAACAAGAGAAACATCTTAATGAAGAGAAATGACAAGTCATCCAACAAATTAGGTCCCATGAAATGTGCGGAGACCTCTCAAAGGTAGGGGAAGTGTTCTGTTCTTGTTCTTACAGGAAAACAGAGAAAACCTATCATCAAACAGCCAAAAGACACTGAACATGTAGGTACCTACAGAAGAGAAGACAGCTCTCCAGAAACAATCACTTAATGAAGAGGAATCTGATTTATGGTAAAAATATTTAATTCTAGTAAACTATTTCTATACAGAAATCTATTCTTCTTTACTATCTAGTATTCCTGTAGTCTCAATTCATGTAAACCAATGCTGGCTTTGGAGTTGGATTTGGCTTTCCTTCTCTAAATTCAAGCATGTTGTTAAGATTAAATTCATGGTTTCTGCCTTAAATCAAGAAGTCAATTGGTGTAAGGCACAAGAAAACAAAATATGGGGACTCATTTCTTATATGCAATTTTCTCTCTGAAATCCTAATTTTCTCATATATATTTTAATGCTTATTGTTGCCTTTCCCTTATGCATACCTTAAAACTTGAAAATTTTACTTTATATTGATGTTTAAGTTTTCCACAAGGAATAATAACAATTCCTAACAGCAATCTTTGAACTCTCCGGAAAGAAGATGGGGCCCCATGTCATCATTTCCACTTGACTCAACCTGATGCATCTGGACTACAAACATCAACCTAAAATCGATTTGAGACTGTTTTGCTCGAGACAAAGTGAATATCCCACTACAGAAGAGCACAGCATTTGCAGAGGGGTGGGAAGGAGAAGCAGATGCCAGCTGAGCCCAAGATGGAAGGGTACCTCTGTGGGAACCAAACATCACAGACAGGCTGGGAGGAGATCAGAAGGTATGCTGCAGGAATGGTGGCCCATCCAGGGGACAGATAACAGTGACAGGTCCTCCCCTGAGATGAGCATCCTACACAGCAGCACAGAGTTCAGGGAAAGCCCCCTGTGTAGGCCCCAACTTTAATGAAAATGTGTGCCCCCCCCCCTCTGGAATTTAGCAGAGTCACTGTATCTGGGGCAGACATCAGAATAAACAGCTGTTTTCTAGAAGCACTTTGGCCTTGAGGACTCATTGTGGTAAACAGTAAAGAATTCTTGTGGAGAACAGCGTTTTCCCCATGATTTGTAGAATTGTTTTGCTGAAGGGGCACTGCAGCCATCCCATGACTTTGGTCACAAGATGGCCCTGGCACACCGGAGGCTCCTGTATTATTGTGTATTGCAAATGATACATAATAAAGGACTAGAGTCAGGAGGGCATGTGATGCTCTCCTTCAGTTAGACATGTAAATTAGGTTAGGGACCTTGGTATGAGGAGATACTTTGTGTAACAACCAGTAAAGATGCCTTTGCATGGCTGCTCTGGGTTCAGTTCATCAGAAGAGGCTGAGCCTTCCTGATGTCACTTAGGCCTTAAAATTTCATCTTGGGGTGCCTTCTTTCTTCAACTGACCCAGCTACATGGTGAACCCTGACACTCATCCCCAAGTGTGCACTACAGGCAGAAGTACCTTTCTCCCTGCCAAAGGACATTGGCAGCACACACCCGTACTGACAAAAGGGAGAAACAAAAGTAAGCAAGGACCCATGTAAGAGACTCAAGGGAAGTGAACTTAAAGATAATGTATGAATCTTAAGTGGATTTTCTAGCCAAAAAGAGAGGGGAAAGAAGGATTTGCAGCCAGGCGCAGAGGTACACACCTGTAATCTCATCACTCAAGAGGCCGGAGCTGAGGAGATGGAGTAGCATATGAGAGGACTTGTGTGCAAGCATACGGACCCCAGTTCAAATACCTGACACCACACAGAAGCACTGTGCATGCCTTCAACCCAAGGATGGGGGAGGAAACAGGTGGACACTGGGAGCTTGCAGGCCAGCCAGCCTATCCAAAAACAGTGAGCTTCTAGTTCAGGCTATATTCCTTTTCAAAAGGAAGTAAGGCAGAGAGAAATAGAGAAATACACAAGACATCACCCTTTGGCTTGTGTGTGCATAAATACACGCACACACTCAAAGCAGGGGGATCACTATAAGTGAAGGCAGCCTAGACTACATAGACTGACCCTGCTTCAAAAGATTTAAAAAGCTAGAAGATATCAAAAGATGAAAAAGCTGGTGCCGTGTCCCAGCAAATAGAGGCACTTGCTACCAAGCATGATAACCTGAGTTGGAACCCCAGAATCCACCTGGTAAAAGAACAGAATTGACCCTGTAGGTCACTCCCTTACCTATACACACACATGCACGCACACACACACACACACACACACATGCACACACGCACGCACGCACGCACAGGACAGGAGCAACTCTACACACGCACACAGTGTGATTTTTTTTTAAAGCTGTTTTTGAGGAACAACTAGGGAAATGTAAATATAGGCTGTGTCTGGAAGCT